ATGATTGTTGAGTTTATTACTTTATATTGTCGGTACGATTAAGTTTAAAAACGTGACAAGTATGAATATTAAAGCGCCATTAGGATTATGGTTACAGTGCATATATATATATATATATATATAACGCTCCCACTTGCTGATTTTGAATATTTGTAATATACTCTTAGAAGGGCCGTGGTAGTTATTGGGCTGTATTGAGTTATTAATATTCATGCATAACGGCTTATGTTAGTTAGTATTTCAATGACGTGGTTACTTTGCTTGGCAAAACGAGAAATACACTGTACTTTTATCTGATACGCTTAATAAAATGCATAGTTACACCCGAGTTGGATCAATTGTAATTGATGTACCTAATTACAGTTTTTTCATGTAATGTAATGGGGGCATTTTCATTCTGTGTAATTGTAATTTTCTAAAATTTTGGCTCAATTACACTTTCCATTAGACTAAATATTAGCATTTTAAAAATGGATGAACATCAAACAAACTCTTCCGAAAACTGTGTTGAACCACTTCCTGCACCAATGTCAGAGTTTTTTTTAAATCTTTGAGCAGCACTGAGGCATGCTGTAACAACTGCAAAAAGAAACTTATGTTCTCAACCCCAAGGCTTTGCCAAACTTGATCACGCACTTGCTCTCCCCTTCTTCTTTTTATTGGGGTCAGAAACTTTTCGCAGCCTAATCTTCAATAAATGCAATCCAACAGTTTTTGAGCAAGTGAAAATGTAAATACGAGCCAAAATGTTATAATTGTAAATTGATATTTTCCGCATGGAGTAATTGTAATGTAATTGAAAAATGCAAGGGAGTAATTGTGATTGAACTGAATTGATGTAATTGATCCACCTCTGAGTTACACTACAAAATAATCACTTAATATTGTATATTCTACGAAGATGGCGCTTAGGACCTTAGAATACATCCATCCATTATATCCATCCATGTTTTTTTCAGCATTTACATCTCATAAGTTGCGCGTTTTACTTATTACCAACTTTTGTACGCATTAAAAAAAACGAAAGAAGGCAATTCCAGTTTTGAAACTAACCCTTATTATTCAAATTGGTTATTGTCGTAATTGACATGGTTTTCAAATTTCAACAACAGGAACCTCAGTAACATGTCTTTTGCGTTTTTCGGCAAACTTCTCACGTTACTCGTTTTTTGTGGTATATATATATATTAGTTATTACCTACTATCGAATTTAAGCCGAAGATAGTTGCTAACTTTTCAGCAAAACGATCAAAGAGAGTCACATGTTGTCAGCAAACACATATTCATTCAAACATATTTAATCCAAATGATTAAATTAAAAGTAACAAGGGAAATTTTGATTATCTATCATTGACGCATTTTGGTGCAAAGTTTAATCTCTATTTTGGGTGGTGACTCACAACGAATAGCATTCACATATATATTTGACAAAAGTTGTATACCGACGCACCTACTTGGTAATATATACAAAAAAAAATAAAACTGAAGCACATCAGAAACTATTGACAAAAATATATTCACAAAGCCGAACCATGCATAAGTAGTATAACTAGTACCAACATAGTGAAAAAGGGTTGATTTTTTCTTTTGGTGGGCTATCGATGGAACTACTTTATACAGATATTATTTTCAATACCTAATTGCATCTCTTCCTTAGGGGGAGTCAATGCTTTTTTTCAATTTCCGTGTTTATACTTCCGAAATGCTCCAAAACGCACATTTCTTTTGTTGACATTGTCACAATAGTATTCAAAAAAATTCAAATAAGTGTTTCGATGAACAAAGTCAATTTATAATAATGAAATCTGACACCACGTTTCCATGAATTCGTGTTATAATTTTCGGAATCTGTTTAATTCAGGATTATAATGCACAATCATCGGCAACGACTACTAACAAACTGCCTCTTTTCAAGTTATTTACTTAGGCTGGCATGTCCGTAACTGATTGTTGCAATATTTCATTTGATTTATACTGGTTGTAGGGATAAGTGTTGCCGTTAACGGTATTTGAAGACAAATAAGTTATTTTTTGGTGTGGAATATATGACCTGATATTGTTAGGACTAACATGATCAAAAAACTAATTAGGATGTTTGAACCAATAAGTTTGAACAATTGTTCATAATGATAGGGTCTGAGTACAGACATTGAGCCCATGTCGCGGAATTTGCCAATTACCTCGAACATTTCCTTTCCAGAAAATTTGAAATCTTCGGATTTCTTCAGTCAGACATTGTCTCAGGAATGTGGGGGGAAAAGAAAAATAATCCGAAAATGACATACGAAAAACTGAGCAGAGCTAAAGGGTATGTTACTTGCCCGAAAGGTGTTGTAAAATGTTCTGTTTCATTTTATGTCAAACAAAAATGATTATGTGACAATTTTATTAACAGTTCTTGAAATCTTGGATATTTTAGGTCTTTAGGGGATATAATTCGGTCTAGTATCTGAACGAAATCGGCATGACAGAGTAATTTTTATTTTAAGTTACTACTACAACCGTGGTACTCTGGAAAGAGTTGATGGACGACAGCTCGTGTATTAATTTGGCTCCCACGCTCATGGCTTTTAGCAAATTGGCGAATCCAATAAAACGCAGAAGTCGGATCAAAACATTCTGGAGACGGTTAAAGTAAAACCAAAAAAGGGTTCAAGAAATATTCCACTGCAAAGCCAAAAAAAACAGCATGACCACATCGCTTCGAAGACCAGCAAATTGTAAAATTTCCGTTACGATGTCAGATAAGATTTGCCGGATTCGCGAAAAAGGCGACGTTGTTCCAGCGACTAAAGGCACCAAAATAGGTCAACGATAGACGTCGCTGTTAATTAAAGCAAAGTCGACAGAAACTCAAACCATGCCGAGTCTGATCGAACAAATAGTAAAGAGTAAACAAGAATGTGGGAAAATGATGGAAGTCAAACCAAAATCCTTCAAGAGTACACCGTCACCGCAAGCAGAGCCTACTTTGTGCAATGTAAAGAAGACGGAGTTTCACTTGCCCCAACAGATGCCCAACAGATCAGCAACTCGCCTAGCAAGCTTCCAAGGGAGGCCTTATTAGGCAAGCATTACAGAATCGCCACTGTCGCAACCTAAAAGTATTGTAAACAATAATGAAAAAAAAAATTCGGCTTGTCATCAATTATAAACAAAACATTGATACTATTAAACATACAAAGCGTCCCGTTTCATAAGCTTCACGAGAAAACTACAGTTCTTTCCGGAGTAGAAATTTCAGACAATTTGGCCATATGCTTCATTTGTTTGTATAATCATCCGGTATGCGGTATGTTATTTCATGAAAATTTGTTTAATGCAGGTTTGTGAGCTCAACTACCTAAGCCTTTTTCTCATGTCTGTACTTCATGATTTTAGAATCAATATTCATTCACAGCTTTTGAACAAAGCAACTTATGTTGCTTTTTAGAGTATAAAGGCCCTGTGTGATAACTGGTCACTGGTCCAATGAGAACGGTTCTTGTGAGGTATATTTTTTGCTCATATTGTGTCGAGAAATATTTTCATGAGAAATATTGCACAGAAAAATATTTTTTGCCTGGAAATATTACTCCTTTGTGCGACTAGCCTAATTTGTACAAAATATCGCCCCCAGCGATTTGAGCATCAACAACCCCAAGAACTTTGCAAGATGATGTTTGCTCGCTGACCTAATTACCTTCAAACAATCTAAATGCAACCTTTTTTGACTATCCAATACCATTGGAAGATTTTAATTAAGTCTTAGCATTAATCATCTTGAGAATAAATTTCATGCGTATGGTCGTAGTAAGTAATCAGGGCATTCATAAACCATTCTTTCTAAAACACATACGACCAAATAATTTAGTAGTATCTCATACAGACTTGCTGAAATAAGATTAGGGAACAATCCCGCTTATTTTCAATTTGAAAAACACTATCTGTATTCTGCAGTATTATTTCACTTGAAGAAAATTCCCTACCTTTAAATACTTGGTCTGCCCTTTATGTCGTTTACTATAGTAAAACTAACTAGACATGCCATGGTACGCTTTAAACACGTAACCCAGGGGTCGGCAACCTGCGGGCCAGAGGGGAGTAGAAAAATCCGACCCGCAACGCTTCACTTGTTCATAGCGACGAAACGGCTGTTTTCACGATTATACGTCTTCAAGTAACAGGATTTATTGCGAGACACGTGTAGACTAAATCATAATATAACCTAACAATTTAGTGAACAGCTACTCGTTTAATTAGCTTACAATTTAATTATAATTAGACAAATGGCAACAAAACGCAGAAAAGTTGATGCTGAGTGCAGCGGGTTCAATGACGCAGAAAATACTCAATGCAATGAGAAAATAAAATTCATAATTTATTCGAGAGATATATCACTGCTTGATTTTCATAAAGAGTATCTTCTTGAAGGAAAACTCTCTCCAAATCTGACAAACTATGCAAAAGTGATGTCCATTTAGAAAACGTTTTAATCTTGACATGCCGCCTGATGTCGGAGAGTTAACAAGCGTGATGCAACAAAAAATGTCACATTGAATGTCATTTGAATTTTTTTCATCTATTAAGACGACTAAGTTGAATTCACTAGTTGTCGCAGTCTTCTTAATTTCAACTTCTGATCTGTGTGAAAAAAATTGTGCTTCATAGGGCATCTGTTCGGTTTTTAACTTTCTAAAAAATATGTGTCTAGACTTAATTTTGGCCCGCGAGCGACAAAAGATTGCAGACCCTTGAGTCGTACGTAACCTGTCATAGCAGTGTGGTGCACTTGCAATTACATCAACTTGATATGAAAAATACATATCGGGGACCATAGAGAAGAACTCTAAATTACCCAAGTTTACTTTAGGCAGGTATGGGCATCATTTAAATCGTTAGTTGTAAATAATATACATTAAAACATATTATGTAAAAAAAAATCTAAAAAGCTGCACTTTGGCTAAATTTCAGCGTATCACATCAAAACACAAATTATTGCATAGCCAGATTCTGTTTATTTCAATATCAAACATATTAAATATAAAGTTGAAGTAATAAAAAGAAATTTATATACAGTTCCAATATGTATATATATATATATATATATATTACGAATTACTGCTTTTTCGATAATGTTCGAAAAAATCTTAAGAGACAATGATGTTAAGTGAAATATAACAAATAATTTTATACTACTGTATAAAGTGTATACTAACGCTGTTATCAATATTTACACAGTAGAAGAACTAACTGCTACTGAAGAAAGAAGGGGGAAACGAACATAATTTCAACCAATTTGCTACCCTGTCAAGTAGGATACAAATGGTCGACATTGCAATACAGTTTCATTGTTATCCATATGTCCATTGTCAACTTGAAATGGTAGCATGTTTTGCCAAAATGTCTATGCAAAAAAGCTTCATCATAATACAAAAAATAAGTTGGATTTGGATAAATTTACCATCATTCTGGAATCAATCCGAATAAACTTGTTGTGTTATAACCATGGATCCCCTTGGTACAAATAAGTTTTTATATTACACACGAATTACAATATAAAATCATACCTTGGAACATATTAAGTATTCATTTTTGTCTCGTTTTCACGAAGTGAAAAACTATACCCTGAACTAGTATTTTGTTAAAAAAGGGCGCAAGTAAATGAAAATGGAGCTTAATCGCAGGTTGAAAAGTACGGTCTAGGAAAATCCACATTATTTTTCAGTCACAAAATATATATGTTCAATACTGATTACAAATTGACATATTTATATTAATTTATTTAGATATTCGTTAGTTATTCGTGTCGTTTACAAGATGAATTCTAAACTAAATCCACATAATGAATCGGAGATAAAATTTTGTAAAATTCTTGCCATTAACAGAGTACATATCATAAATTAGGTCCGCTTCTGCACAGGTATAAAAAACAGCATCGAAGAATTTTATCCATAAGGTATCTGGTAAATATGCAGTTCAAGGACCAAGTGTATTAAAAATAAATACAAAAAGAGGGCATTTAACGATAGAACAAAGTCGTGAAATATTATTTATTTTACTAAAACTTATATTTATGTCAGTAAATAAAAAAATATCATAAGACGTAAAAGTGTAATTTGTAATACTCTCTCTAATAGATTAATAGTTGCCTCATTTATTTACATGGAAATAGGAAACGGATCGTGTGGTCAAAGTTGCCTGGAAAAGCTAGAAAGGCTGTTGAGTTGTTGAAAATTAAGGTAATCGCCAACTCACATCACGATATAATTGGGTATTTTTATTTTCATGATTGGAAGAAAACTCCGACAACTATTGGATATTCTTAATATGCGTTTATTTATTGCACACTCAAGCCACAGCTTATAATTACACGGCGTCTTTATACGCTAAAAAGTAACATTAGTTTCTTCGTTCGAAAGCTGTGAATGAATATTGATTCTGAAATCATGGAGTACAGACATGAGAAATAGACTTAGGTAGTTAAGCTCACAAACCTGCATTAAACAATTTCATAAAATAACATACCGGCATGCCGGATGATTATTCAAACTACAACTGATTGAATAACAATGAAGCATATGGCCAAATTGTCAGAAATTTCTACTCCGGAAAGAACTGTATTTTTTTCGTGAAGCTTATTAATCGGGTCGCTTTGTATGTTCAATAGTACCAATGATATGTTTATAATTGATGATAAAACCGCTTTTTTGTTGTGTTAGGTTTAGGTTTTTCATCATTTTTTACAATACTTTAGGTTGCGACAGTGGCGATTTTGTAATGCTTGCCTAATAAGACTTCAGCACTTGGAAGTTTGCTAGGCGAGTTGCTGATCTGTTGATCGTTAGACCATTTCAATGCTTCTGTGACGGCACAAGTGAAACTTTGTCTTCTTTACATTGTCGCTCCTTCTTTTCTGCTGGTTGCACCTGTCGAGCGACGTAAACGATACACGAAGTAGGTTCTGCTTGTGGGCGACGGTGTACTCTTGAACGATCTGGTTTGACTTCCATCATTTTCTCACATTCTTTTTTAACTTTTACTATTTGTTCGATCAGACTCGCATGGTTTGGGTTTCTGTCGATTTTGCTTCAACAGCAACGTCTATCGTTGACTTATTTGACGCGTTTTGGTCGCTGGAACAACGACGCCTTTTTCGCGAATCAGGCAACACATTATCTGACATCGTAACGGAAATTTTACAATTTGCTGGTCTTCGAAGCGATGTGGTTAGACTGTTTTTTTGACTTTGTAGTGGATTATTTCTTGGACCTTTTTCTGGTTTTACTTTGACCTCCTCTTGAATATTTGATCCGGTTCCTGCGTTTCATTGGATTCGCCAATTTGCTGCCAGCCATGAGCGTTGGGACCAAATTTATACACGAGCCGTCGTCCATCAACTCTTTCCAGAATACCACGGTTGTAGTAGTACCTTAAAATGAAAATAACTCTGTCATGCCGATTTCGTTTAAATACTAGATAGATTTATATCTCCTAAAATACCCAAGATTCCACGAATTGTTAATAAAATTGTCATATAATAATTTTGTTATACATGAAATGAAATCTAAATAAAGACATTTTACAACAATTTCTGGCAAGCAACATACCTCATAGCTCTGCCTCAGTTTTTCGTATGTCATTTTCGGATTATTTTTCTTTTTGCCCCACATTCCTGCAACAATGTCTGACTGAACAAATCTGAAAATTCCAGATTTTTCTGTCCTCCCACTTGATCAGACTCGGACAATACGTTTGATCGAGTAGTGTATCTCGGATGAATTCCCATAAGTGAATACTTTTTCCTGCAAAATAAATTGAATAATGTAGAAATGTTCGAGGTAATTGGCTAAATTCCGCGACATGGGCTCAATGCCTGAACTCCGAATTCCTTACCTTTTTTAGACTCAAACCCTATCTTGATGAAACAATTGTTCAAACTTATTGATTCAAAGATCCTAATAAGTTTTTTGCTAATTTTGGCCTTTACGATATCAGGTCATATAATTCCGCACCAAAAAAGTACTTATTTTCTTTAAATACCGTTAACGACAACACCACCCTACAACCAGTATAATTTGAATGGAAAATTCGTTCTCTACTTTACAGCAATTGCTATCTGAAAATTATGAAACCGATTGAAGCCGAGTGTTATACCGATATAAGTGTAGCAACAATCGGTTACGGACATGCCAGCCTAAGTAAATAACTCGAAAAGAGGCAGTTTTCAGTAGTCGTTGCCGATGATTATGCATTCATTATAGCCTAATCCGGAATTGGAACAGATTTCCGAAAATTATAACCCGAATTCATGAAGACGTGGTGTCAGAATTTCAATATTATAAATTGACTTTGTTCACCAAAACACTCGTTTGAATATTTCTGATTACTAGTGTGAGCAATGTCAACAAAAGAAACGTGTGTTTGGGGCATTTCGGAAATATAAACACGGAAATTGAAAAAAAAGCATTGACTCCCCTAAGGATGAGTTGCAATTTCAATGCAAAAAAATAAATATCTGTATCAAGTGGTTCCATCGATAGCCCGCCAAAAGAAATATCAACCCTTTCTCACTATGTTGGTAACCAGTTTATACTACTTATGCATGATTCGGCTTTGGTGAATATATTTTCCAAATAAGTTTCTGATTTGCGTCAGTTTGATTTTTCTGTATATATTACTTATTAGGTGCGTCGATAAACAACTTTCGTTAATATATTGTGAATGCTATTCGTTTGTGAGTCACCGCCCAAATAGAGATAAAACTTCTGCACCAAAATGCGTCAATCAGAGATAATTAAAATTTCCCTTGTTACTTTTCATTTAATCATAAAGTTTGGTTGAATATGTGTTGGCTGGCAACATGTGACTCAGGTTGAGCGTTTTGTGTAAAGTTAACAACTATCTTCGGTTTAAATTCGATTGATAGGTAATAATTGATATATACCATAAAAACGAGTCACGTGAGATGTTGGCCGAAAAACGCAAATGACATGTTACTGAGGTTTCTGTTGATGAAATTTAAAAGAGGATAGTAAATTATGACAATACCCTATGTCAATAATAAGGGTTATTTTCAAAATTGGAATTGCCTTATTTCGGTAATAAGTAAAAAGCGCAACCTAAGAGATGTAAATGCTGAAAATGTCCACCGATATACCCGGAGTTAACTGTTCCAGTAGGGAGGGATGTATACAAGATCCCAAGCGACAATACTATAATTCAATATTAAGTGATTATTGTTTAGTGTAATTTTGCATTTATTGAGCGCAATATATAAAAATACGGTCTATTTCTCATTTTGCCGAACACAGTAACCACATTATTGAAATACTAACTAAATAAGACGTTATGCATAAATAATAACTCAATACGGCCGAATAACTACCCCAGGCCTTCTAAGAGTATATTACAAATATTCAAAATCAGCGAGTGTGAGCGTGAATGGTGATTACATTTATAATCAAACAAAAACAAACCCAAAGTAAAGAATAAACATATATTAATTGCTATAAAGTGAACCCAATTACAGCCAATGGAAAGGCTATGGACGTATAATTGTAGCCACCTACCTGGATGTGTTGTGCAATTTAGGCATGATATGAATAATGTAAACGTGAACTATAACCTACACCTATTACTAAGAGTCATTTCATTTTAAATAGCGCAACGCGAACCACCTCAACATTAAATTCCCTTGATTACTTTCAATGTCATTTAAATTCTTGCTCCCGTTTCATCGAATTGGTGCATTATATATATTATATATGCATTGTAACCATAATTCTAATGGCGCTTTAATATTCATGCATGTCACGTTTTTGAACTTAATCGTATCGACAATATAAATATAATAAACTCAACGATCATTATCGTTGGTAAAAATGATCATCTGTAATGAGGAAACAATATTGGTCTTATTTTTAATAGGATCTGGGTGCTCCATGCTTGGCTTGGTTTAAAATAGAATGTATCTCAGAGATTCTCAAGCAAAACATGCGTTTCAAGTCATTCACTGGCATTTTCGCCACACTAACACAAGACTCTTAAACTACTCAGAATTGCTATCTTTACTCATGCTATACAGCAGGGCTTCCCGAACTAGGGGCCAAAGTACTGTATCTATTCTACAGTACACAAAGTACTGTATCTATTGCACTTTTTCACTCTTGATTTGAAATACAATTATTGAAAATAGTGTAGAACGATAATTTCACGATTCCGAGTGAATATACATCATCATACCGTGTTTTCCCGAAAATAAGACATTGTCTTCATTTTCTTTCGACACTGGGGCTCATTTTTGGGGGATGTAGAGGATAACGAGATTTTTTTAATATACAAAATATGAATACCCGAAATATATAAATAATATGATCAAATATGATACCAACTTAGTTGCACGTTTTCATTTAAAATAGCTGCTACATATAGATTATTAACCATTTAAAAGTAGATTTCTTTATCGACTAGGACTCAGTGGTTTTCGAACTTCATTGTATTGTTGACGCCCTCCAGAAATATGCTCAAGTTGCGACTTCCCGTGAAACATACCGTACGTATTGATACATTTCAATATAATACCTTTTTTGCAATGAGTTTTATATAAGCGAACAAACAAAAACCTAACAACAGTCAGTGGAAATCACATTTATGGTATCACATGGTAGAAAGCCTGCTTTATATAAATACGAAATCGCAAGGAGATGGGGTGCGCAACGCTTTTTAAACCAAGGAAAAATATTCGTTATCTACAGAAAAACCAAATTTTCAGAATTAAACTTATTTATTATAACACCATCACGAAATTTTGCGACGCCTAGCAGAATTGAAGCTTCCACGGGATTAGGTGAACAAATTGCGCTATCGACGAAGTCTTTTTTTCAAGGCGAGCGCTTGAATTAAAATCATTTTCAAAATTCAGGCTTGGACTTATTTTGGGGGAAACACGGTAGAATCATCGCGCTTGCATAACAATGCATATTCTGATCGTTTGAACCGATGCGTGCTTGCATAACAATGCCGGCTTTAAACGCTAAGCTAGCGGCTCCGGAAAGCGATTTGCTCAGTGTGCCTCGAAACATATTACATATTATATTTATTCCAAATGTTTTATTGTTTCTCATTAAAGCAAATGATGTGTATATGAATCAAATTCATTTTACATTTCTATAATATTTACTTTCTGTTACGTTGTTACGTAACAGGTAAACCCTAATGCTGCAATTTCGATGGCCGCAGTTTATTCATTTGCTGAACCGAGTTTATCGAACATGAGTGGGTTTTAAACATTTTAAAGAAAAGCTAGGCAGAGTTAAGCCTACATGTTTATAAACTTCAAAAGGCATAAAGTACATATTAACGATGACAAACTTGTGTTTTATTTTGCGGCAGCATATTTTTTTAGTGGAGGTGCGCCACTAGTTTTTTCCTTGATGATTTGGTGCCGCTGCAAACCGCTGCTTAATGCTAAGTTTGATCAATAAGAGTGAACAATTCCGGATTAGGACCAGGTCGTCGGTGGGCAGACATCGTAATTTATCATTAGGCCTGCAAAAACCAACATTGCGCCACGGCTGAACTTGTTATGCAACAAGAAGCATTCGCACCCATTACATTGAATAATCTGAGGACAGATGTTTTTGTTATTGAGTAGCCCTTTGAACTGTTTATCATTATTAGCGTGAACAAGGGCCGCGAAAATTTGTAATATATCAAAGGGGCCGCGAGCTCAAAAGTTTGGGAAGCCCTGCGTATACAGCATCTCGCACTAGTTATATGCATACGGGTCCAACAGCCCAAAAGCATAAATGAACAATAGGTACAGCAGAACTCAATCGACGAAACACACATTCTTTGTTTTAGCCATACTATTGATCTGAGACAAAACAGTCTATATTGGTATTTATTTCATAGCACACAAAGTCAACAAGCGTGTCCGGAAAATTCGTCACATGAAAAGTTGCCGCAAGAGAATTTTGCTGTAAATCAAGTATTTTTGATAGCATAAAAAATCGCCACAAGAGCATTATGCTGTAAAACAAGTATTTGTAATAAAAACAGTTAGGTTTATAGGGTTAGGGTATGCTCTTAAATAACGAATAAAAATTTTTTTTGAATAAAAAGATACTTCAAAAACCTAACTGTTTTTATCACAAATACTTGTTTTACAGCAAAATGCTCTTGCGGCGATTTTTCATGGGCGATTTTTCCTATGCGGTAAAATTTCAGCGGCGAAATTTCCTGTGGCGAATTTTTCTAGCATCGGCAACAAGTCAGCGCTAAGCTAGGAGATAGTAAAATGAATTTTATATTTCCAGTTGTGTTATTTTTCTGACACCATATCAAGCACGCGAAGTTAGGCTATCGCGCTCGTTGGTAGTAAAATAAAAATAATTTTAATCTAACCGGATCCGAATTATTAATAAATATTACCTTGAATTCTTCGCACTTTCAGATCAAACGAATCAATGAAAGCTGCATCCTTCCATCGCATTGTATGTCTTCTAGATAAACCCATTCTGAAATTGTCTTTTCTTGTTTCGAATGAAATCCGGTAAATCGGCGATTTTGTATCCCGCATAAAGGATCTGAGTGTTGTTTCGTAATCAAGGCATTTGTCGGAACTAAAAAAGTGTAACGTCAAAAGTAAAATGAATATCTCTACCAGAGTATAGCGCTATTGTATGGCCGTATTCATAATGAAAACTTGTAATCGCCGATTTTGTATCCCACATAAAGAATCGGATGTTTTATCTTGTGACCAAACCATTTGTATGAACTGAATAGAAAAGTTTGCCGGACTGTGCTAACATATACTGGATGTACTGTAATGTATTACCACAATCTGTCAACTGCATGATCAAATATATAGTTATAAGATTCATTCGACAGAATATGACGTCAAATAGAATGTCCTATATACAAATTGGTATTCGAAATTGCATCTCAGCACATTTGACAGCACTACCACCCCCCTACTTTAGTTGGTGAGTAATGATAAAATAATATTTCTAACCTATCGACTCCCATGTTTTGCCCTCGGAATTCCGTTTACGCCGACTTCTCCATCTTGTGTTGTTTACCTATGCGACGATTATGTGATACAAAAGACGGATAAACAGTTGTAATATTGCCTTGTGTGACAAAACTGATGGCATCCCTTTGTATCTTGGAGACTGTACCATACTGTTTGCGGCATTTGCTTTAGTTGCATCATTCAGAGAAGAAGGCACAAAAAACTACATTTCGTCTAGTGTACGGGACGGTTAGCGAAGATGTACTGGTTGGCGAAAGACGGAAGAGATTGCATAGAAGGCGTCTGCTATGTATGTTTGACAGTCGTCCATATTGAAAAGCTTAGGTTCTGACTCTGAACAAGAAAAATAGGGTTGTTATCAACTGAATTTGGACATGACATAACCAGCTAGAAATCAATAAAACATTTCTCGCTTCCATAAACTGCAATAGGAAAGTAAAGAATTCGGCTACAAATGAAAGTGCATTGATTTTTATTCAATATATACTGTGCAGCGTATTCATAAAGTCCCGTTACAATTTCAATATGTTTCTTTATGAAGTCAATTCTCAATATATGTCAAACGGATTCGGGGTATATTTTAACCAGTGTTTATTTAAGCTACTACATTGCAAACACAGCAGAAGGGATATCTAAATATGGTTTTGATAAATTCCGTTAAACATATAATACCTTAATGAACATCCTGTAGGCCTTATATTAAATTCGTTTTTTGATTTTGATACTATTTACTTCATAAATGCAATGCGGTGTATCGGTCGGTATATAGTTCACAATATACGCAATTTAAAAGGACTGTGGGTAAAAATAACTTAAACTGTAATAAAAAAGCCGTTTACCACCAGCTGTTAGGTCGATGTCGTAGATGATGTCGATCCTCGCTCCCACAATCTTCTTTCGAACCCTCGTCATTCACTGGGCATGTGGAATCATTTTTGGAAGGGACAGACACCTGTAATATTAAGAAAAAACTGGGGCGTCGAAATACAGATATTAATCATATCATCACTTGCATAATGGCAGATGTAAACGTGCACCAGTCAAAGATAGATAACCGAACTGTCTATCATTTAGAAATTAGTGAGAACGGCGCCCAAAATAAACTGCATAATATGTCACAAATATACAATGACGCCAATACTAAGAATTTGTTAAAAGAACTACAAAAAATGAAGTCGAATCTACAATTAGTAGGAATTCTTACCTCCGTTAGAATGTTTGCTGCTACGTTTTGAGATAGAGATTTGAGGAGGGAACTATTGCCTGTTGCCATGCGTATTATTACCACAGTTAAGACACTCCATTCAGTTCGACGCGATCTCTGTGTTATCAGGCAATGTTATTGCCAATTCTTCCCCGTTGTGTTTACGACCGGCGTATATTTATTCGGCGAAGACTCTGGAACTGTGAATTCGCTGTCTGTGTCAGACATAGCGGGATCGCGCAATGAATGAAAATTGGTGTTGCCAGTTCTCCAGAGGCAAGATACAATAGAAGCTGGCTTTTGCGTAACTTCTTGTGCTTACGTTTGACACGCAATCGTGCATTGCAATTAGAGGGGGAGGAGGAACGTTGTAATAAGTACTTAGGCGACACTGGAGGGTAATATTCAGTAGTGGACGAAACAGAGTCATCATAAGATGCTTGCGTGAAAAAATCGTGTACTTTGTTTTGTTGCGGGTAGGAAGAAAATTCTTTGAGAAGAGAGTGTTGGACGGAGTCGTTTGAAAGTAGCTCTGATCGGGTGTCGTGGTATACGTCAGGATAATGAGCAAATTTATTTTTATGCAAAGTAGATTCCTCGTATGAAGGTACCCGACCAGCAGGTGAGAAATGATTGTGAAAAAACTCAGTCGAGTTACAACTATGTGTCCGATGATGCAGACGACGTTCGTTTCTTGACCGAGAGACTTCAGAAACGACCCTTGAAAATCCAACACATCTGCTATCTCGAGAGAGCCAAGGACGCTATCGGATCCCAGAGAATCTGTGATAAAGAAGTTGAATCAGAAATCTGTAGTATATTCGGTGGCATCTTTGTCCAGACCAGGCGGCTAGACGTGCTTATTCTTTTTTACTGAAACTTCCAATTCAGGTTTATTTAAAACCTACGTCAAATTTAGTGGTCTTAATATTCATTTCTTGGTATTTATACAAAATTTAAGTAATAGCCCAATCTCGCGATGAAAAAATTATCAAAAACATCAGATTGTCAAATAATTAGAATGATTTTAGAACAAAGTGATATGGGGGAATACAATGCGCTTAAATTTAGCCAAATTAACTTAGCATATGACTTGGTACAAAAACGACAATGGATGAGCAATCGTCGTCTTAATTGAATAACATTTGAATAAATAAGTTGCGCAAGCTTTTGTCAAAACGGCCACGTTAAATTAGATATTGCAAATACCTTTCTATTCACTAGAAAGGTAAAAAAGGTCTGTGGAAATTTTTCATAAATCAGATTATAACCAATTATATTTATAAATTATGAATACAATGGTTTGAGGCTTATGACATGTTTTATCTATTAAACTCCGAAATCAACCGCGGCCCAAAACAAATTAACAATACAAAATTATTCATACAATAAAATGAGATATAACACAATATATATATATATATATATATATTCATTCCCCTAGAGCAAATATACCTCACCTTCAAAATTTACTGATTCTTCTAGCTGTTCTACGCTTGTTGCTGGAACACAATTAGGATTCACAACGACGCATTGTCCACGGTACTGATGATACATTTCGTTTTCGTTTATTTCTCTTTCTGAATCCGATTTACCATTCAAAAAAGTCAAAAGCTCTTTCACCTTTTTGATCAGGTGTTCAGCTAACAATAAATCGTTTTTACAATATTCGTGAAACTTATCTAATTCCAAGTTACGTTAAAGCACGGCCGTTGAGGAAGCTCCCAGAAAAAATGTTTCCTGTGCGTTTCTGGTTCTCGACGTTTTTTGAATCTAGGTTAGTGCACAATGATGTTTTGTCTAACTCATAATGTCGTATTGTATCGTTGAGCCACGATGCTACCTAAAATAATTTGATCGTTAGGTATTAGTACAACTAAAGAAAAAGGCAACGAACCACAATACCCTATACGCCGTGGTTCCGGTGTAAAATGGCAAATTCCAGGTCCACCTGACAAACGCTCAATGACTAAGTGTGATAAAAAATATTGTAAAATATAATGAATTAACAGAAATCGTCTATATTCAATCTTGTTGTATTTCCCGAAGAAGGAAATTATAGATGAATCTAAGGTAATGCTTATTCTTCTCATATTTTGACTGATGTTTCTTAGCGTATTTTAAAAGGAAAGTCATACAGTTCATGAAAGTAATTTTACATTAGTTTTCTAACAGTGTGGCGCAATTTGATTGAGTTATAAACGCATGTGTTATTGCTAATGCATATTCATTATGTTAAAATAAACATGATAAATATCGATATTATAATACACCAAAATTTTTGTTTTCACTTAACAAAAGATGACTTTATGACCAATTTTATCACCGGGACACAACACAATATCCTAGTTATAGTATATATCTTGATTATAATTTCGAACATCACAGACTACACAATTCCGAACAAAAATTAATGATATGTGAGATTGTAAAATTTTCTCAATTAAACACTTATATTTATCGGGAGCTGTATCTTGGAAGGAATACTCGCCGCAGGAAACTTCGCTGTAGGAAATTTCACCGCATAGAAAAAAACGCCTTATCTAAAAAATATTCATTATTTAAGATCATACCCTATAAACCTAACTGTCGCAAAAGACATCAGCCCTCAATATTAGACGTTTAGAAATTTCATGCTAAAACTCGACATTAATTAAACCAATTTACAATGTACGGCGGTATAGTTAGATAGATCATGTCCGTTAATAATAATTATAGAGTTTCATTTTGAAAATATTCACCATCACTCAACACGTTAATAAAATTTAAAAGTCTTCGCCGTGGAAAATTCAGCACGCCCGAAATTCAACATACAATTTTTGTACCTCCTGAAGTATGCGCATTAAGATGGCGCAGAACCTGAACATAGTATGTGTATACCGGTTAGGATTAGGGGTTGTGCGACATCTTGGTGCGCATACTTCTGGAGCACCCAATTTTTATATACAAATTTACAGAGTAAATTTTATATATTAAATCAAATACAATTACCTCTTCTGATGACCACTTTTCAATTGCCTTTGTTGGGTATTTACTAAGTTGCTGCTGAGTAATGTCTAAAATAGAATAAAGCAAAAAGAGTTGACAGTAAGATCAGAAAATCAAGAATATTTTATATATAATCAGTATCAAGTCTCGAATAAATGGCCTGTCTGAATAATAACATAGTTTAATATTCATTGAGCCAAATTAGCAAGATGCATAAAGCAACAGAGCGTAGAAGGCCTCTACCTAAAATTCAAAGGCTACGGACTAGGTTAAGGGAAATATATACCAAACCAAGAACACAAATATATATTCTCGGCCATGAAAATTAACTCTAGTACAAATTGTTTGTATGTCAATCGGAATATTGCGGGTTAAACAAGTAGAAAATTTTTGCATGTCCGTACATCAAAATTTCCGCGTTACCACGGTACAATTTTCACATATCGCTTTCATCTGTACGCGAATTTTACAATGCCTAGTAAGCCATCCATAGTCCCTAACTAGATTTCAAAATTTTCCTGCATTCCTGCAAATTTATGGCTCTATTTATTTTTGAAGTTTCATCCACAGGTTGGAATAAGGTTGATATATATACTAATACAAATTTTCACAAAACATATTGCTGGAATCTTGATTAGAAAACTACCGTTTACAAAAACACGTATTTTATTTACGTAAGCATACTGATATATTCGGTGCACTCTATTACAACTTCCTAATACAATTTAACTCCATTTTTATTCCAAATCAAAATTTTCAACTTTCCAAACCGGGCACGGCACATTCTTTACCTTTTCCGATCGACCAACCACTGATGCGCATAGAACGCTGGCCTGACTATAATGAAAGATCATATGAATTTACGTAACAGTTGAAGTGGGTGGAGTCAACTATCGCGTAATTTGCTCTAATAATATTCATTTCAAACATTTCATCCATCCATTGAAAAAGCTCGGGCGGTAAAAAAGCTCGTGAATAACTAATGCTCCACGTATGGAACAAAATCACCTTTGTTTGCGAGCATTCGTTCGTCATGTTTGGTATCAGAATAACTACAATTAAAATTTCAGAATCATACGTTGTACAATCGCGGGGAGGGCGTAATGTATGCGCTATCGTGTCAAACGTGACGCAAATTTTTTGATCACCTACGTTAACCTGTAGGTGAGTCAAGCCCGACATAATTTTCCACCAATGGCTGCGTAGAAAATCCATATTACATAAGTAATAAATTAATATGCATATTATTATTGTTTTCTTACATAATATACAAAATAATCTCTTCTCTTCTTCTCTCTTTTACTTAAATGTAATTATTTTATTTTTTTAACGATCCTATGCAACGCATACGCGTTGATGACTCCTTGATAGGTGTAAATAGTAATATTAAGAGTTAAAATATTACATGTGGCAATATTGATGAATGTTTTTTAAAATACATTCAGAAAATAGTGGTAGTCGAACGCTTGATACATGCAAGCAAGTGTTCTTATTTGTTAGACACTAAACTTCTTGTGAAACTCAATTACCTACATATCATTAGAGCTCCCACTCTTTTTTTGTTTGACGCTGAACTATGATGGTAATCATAAAATAGATTAATTTCTAAATATCACACCATTTCGTATACAAGCAGACACTATTTTGCACGTTATTTTATATTTGTAACTAATGTTTTAAAAGTTGAAATATGAAACATGTGGGCATTGTTAAATATTCGCCATCATATCTACGCGCAGTAATAAGCGAACACATTCAACTGAAACTAAATTTGTCCGAATACAAAAACTAAGCCCTTCCCAACTCAACCCGGTAATGCCGACCTACAACCCCAGCAAAATAAATGCTTATACCACGTTGAAGCCCATAAAACGCCCATGTGCCGTAATCTAATCTGCAATTTTTGTATTTACGCTCTATGTTTTTATTAAATACATAAATTGGTGAGCCTACTTCAGAATAGAAAGAAGTCAGACGACCATTCACTAGATTTCCTATTTATAATATAGCATCAACTAATAATCATGATAAGTGATAACTAAACAGAACCTGTTTCTATTTTGAACCGTGAGTTTTCATAAGGGTGAGTACATGTGTTGTTTATTATTATTCTTTATATCTATTATCGAAAACCACTTTCGAAACTAAAGTTTCGACGAAATCAGGTTGGGACATCAATTCTAAAAACATGATTGAAACCGTAACCAAAATATCTTAGTGAACGGGTCACACCGTAAATCAGTAGAGCCGGGTGTAGGGAAACAGCTATCAAATAGTTATTTTAATTAATAAATATTATATATTAGTGGTCTGGAAAGTTGTTAGAAAAATTAGTAAAATTCATTTGTTTTGTAAAACAAATCAAGTTTACTATTAGCTCAGTTCTTCCAGTATTATACTACGACATCGCTCAATTATAGCCAAGTGAGAGAGAGCTACATCATTACGCAATCAGGTTATGGTCAATGCCAAAAGAAGCAATCTGGTAATGCAATTACATAGATGAAATCTATCATATAATCAACGAATGCATCTTGATTATACATATTTTTTTCAAGCGTCTGGAAACTTCATTTTATTTTCGAAACACGCTAAAAATAATACATGTAAAAACAATTCGACTCTCAATTAGAAACGAGTTCCGAAAGACGTGCAATATCTAACTGTCGACCCCATTTGCACGTGACAAGACTCAATATACTGCAATGGAAAGTTCAACAGCATTTTGGAATATAGTACGCGTCAAAAATGTTTTTCGGTAGTATAATATAAGACAATCACTCAGCGCGGAAAAAATTATCATGTCGTGGGTTTAGTAAAAATAAATGTTTTCGATCGTGGTTATTTTATGAAAATTGATTGCCAGAAGATGTCAATTTTAATACAAATAATGATAAGCTGAATTTCTTGCTCGAATTGCTTAAAATTGACACATGGATGAGAAATGTAACCATTATACAATGTGTATTCATCACCGATTTTTTAACTTGACTTTCAACTTTACTTTTTCCGGGTGAAGTTGAGAAATAACATTAAAATTAAAACTGTTGAAGTGATACTTTTAAATATTATGAAATATACCAACCTAACGACATCGTTTTCTTTTAAAGCGTCTCATTAGGCAATGAAATGCCATAAAAGAAGCTACAAAATCAGATATATTTGCTATTTGACTACAGACTTCGAGCCATTCAGAAAAATCTAACTTCAGCTACGACTCCCAATTCTAGGTTGAAATAATTTTCTAATCTGACCATAGTTTATGACAACGCTATAGTAGAATTCTGATTACAAAAACTCTGTAGATCTCAAGCTTTTTTAATTTAAATTTTGAACCCAGCTCTTGAGGTTCCACCATTACTCTCGAAAATGGTGGCGTTTAAAATTTCGACCTCACGAAGTTTGGATATACGGCTGCGGCGCCTCATACCGACTCAAAACGGCAATCTGTACGACTTCAAGGCCCAAAGCGACAACCTAGTTGGGCGGAGTTCCGCACACTTTTGCATAATTCATCGCAAACTTTTCTCTCCACTCTTCATCTCTACGCTCAAACTTTCAAACATTTAAGAGACATCAGAACTCACATTGAACAACTTTGACGAAGTCATTATATGAAAACAACGATTAATTTAATATGACGGCATTCTTAATTACGCGCATACTAGTACTTCTAACTGTCTGAGACTACAATGATATAAAACTGATTCATCATCACATCTAGTTGAACATAGTCATATTATACGCAATAATACATTGGAAAACACGCCAAACTACGCGTGAACTACCAAACTACTATTTATTATTCCGACATGACATACTGTGTTGTATATCATCTGCAACAAATAGAAGCCAACTCATTCATTTTATTTTCAGTTTTTTTCGTTATTGTATTCTCTTGAATCAGAACGAAACCAGCATAGTCCGCATCTTACCTAAAGTTACCATATTTTAATCCTATATAATATTTTGATACTTCAAAGATCCAAATTTCTTGATTTACCCGATAACGCAAAACCAAGATTTGAATAGTAGATGATAGGAACGAATAAATTGGTACTACAAATCTACATTTAATTTTATTTTGAATAAATTAAGTTTTGGGCACTGCGAATTTGAATCTGAATATCTAATCTCATAACTTTTTCTCAATTGTCGAGGTTTTACTCATCAGATGCAATGCTATTTGGCAGTTATGATGAAAAAATTCTTCGTTTTGATATTTTATATATGTTCAAGTATTCCATTTTTTCGAAACATTACTACAGTCCACCTGATATTATTAATAAATTCCATATACTCAAAATCAGTATGAGCAGTCACTACAACGTGAGATGACACCATTTAATAAAGGCAACTGAAAGACATCTATGAATATAATAATGACGTATAATATCGTCGGATGGGTTAGTGTCATTCGAGGGAGAACGTTTAGCGCGACCCATAACAATATAACATTACATCATATCTATGTATATGATTGCTCCACTTATCTGGGTTATCTTAAATATATATCACTATACTATTTGACATACAAAATGAAATTAACCTAAAATCAGTTGTAATATATATATTACCGGTTGTATTTTAATCTGTCCAGCCTATTTCTTCTGCTCTAATTTTTTCAGCTGGGCATTATTGAGTACATATAAAACAGTAAATTATCTGACTGACCCTCATTGCCAGTACAATATAGATGTACAAGGATGTGTTTTTGGGACATTGATTAATTTGTAAATAAAAAAGTTATGATAGATTTCACTGTCCAGTGAGAGTCAAAATCATAATATGTCACCATATTTTATACAGGAAACATTCCTTGTCACCCGATACAATTCGATAAAAATGTCTCTTAAAATACTAACCGAGGTAGCAGATAAAACATAGGATTTTCAAGGTCAAACTGCCTAGTTGTCCTAAGTTGGCAAAGAACATCCAAATTTTGTCACTTTGTTTTTGCATATGATAAACAGATAAACCTTAGTAAAACGTCTTGGTAAATTATAGAATTGTAAATGTATTCTCTGTTGTCATGTCATTAAAACTGAAGCCCTGATAAGATGTCAGACAATTGAGATAATCGAAAATGGGGGATAAAAAAACTATTAATTTACAATTCGGCTATGGGAATTAAATTCAAAAAGTCATCTCTAAAATTACATTAAAACATCAGTAAATTCTCTTTATTGTTAGAAGCGTTCCGTTAAATTTGTGTTTATGAGTGATCACGTGGGTGTCACATTTAACAATACCAAAAATTAAAGTCCCGTGGTGTACGTATAAGTTGCCTACTGTGTTTGATATAGGATTTGGTATTGAATCATAAAATATAAATTTTCGTCAAATGATTAAATCATTGCTATTTTTTTTATGAAATATAAGTTCAATTCTAGCCTATATTTGTCAACGAAAAAAAAAGATATTTTTACCATTGTGCAAATCCGAAATATTTTATTTTTTATTTTTTACAAAAGCACGAGAGTGTTATTGTAGGCGGATTTTTGGGCAAGAACCCAGTCGGAATTCCTAACTATAACCAATCTAGTAACAAAATGAGAATTGTCATACCGTACTGTAGATGAAACTTTTATAAGTGGCGTCAAATTGAAATATCCTAATCGAGTAAATAGTGTAAATTTTGTCACGTGTGACACATTCGTTGTTCTTGAAAGGTGATGCATTTGGGTTTAGAAAAAAATTGTTTGCTCACAAGTCGGAACCAGAAGTTAACCCGGAAGACGATTGCAAATTACGAATCTGCATCAGAAGCAGTTCATTACAGTGGATGAAACGGAGGAAGCCAAAAATTGTCATTTTATCCTACTTAAGATTACTTTTTATAGCGTATTTAATTATTTTGATTACTCACAAAACAATTTGAAGTTGCGTCTATAAAAACCGATTACGAAATTTCCACTATTCTTCGAATATTACTGACGATGCTATTGTTTTAACAAGAAATTTGTATACAAGATTGAGAAGGTGTTTGATGAACTCAGGTACTGCAATATCCTGCTCACGACTTGTATTGTTTATTCGTGGGAACTACTATCTCACTGACAAATTTGTTAGAAAGAATGAGAATAACGTTAGTTATATACCGAGCAAGAGCACGTTCAGGTTGTTATCCGTGGGCTCATAATGGATTATTCAAATTGCATCCTAGATACGCAATTTTACTTAAATGATAAGTTTGATTTAAAACGTGGTTACTTTTATTATAATCGACCAAGTGTGGACATGGAATGAGGAGCTCCGCCAGGGTTCGTATAGCCAGGACTCGGATGCCCCGATGGTTAAAGCGTTAGACTTGGCAATCTTGCCTTCGTGAGTCAACGACGTAGGATTATTTCTTTTATTTAAGTCAAAATCTTATTTGTATTTATTTCCATGAAAATTTCCCCCCTCCTGCGTAGGTTATTGACGAATGAGCCAAACTAATAATAAAGTTACATACAAAAAGGTTCACCTTTCATGTCCAATCAGTGTGTAACCTACTGAGTAAGCAATGCTAAGCAAAGAAGTTTCCGGCCCTATAAAAATACTATCGTTTCAATATTACGTATCAGTGACTGCTTAGACCTTCTTGTTCAGAGTGATTGCGTGATAACACCTCATAAAATGTGTCCATCATGGCTGGTTATGGGGAAGAAGAACTTTATGTAAATGAAAATTTGTATTCTGACTAATTCATAATTACAATTCGTGTCGAAAGATAGAAATTACCAAATACCTTTATTCTTTTTGTTAAATTCCGTTCCCACTTGCGTTCTTTCCGATCTCGACGACGTATTTGAGTCATGTGACACGACGCACGCATCAGTAGAACAATGGCAAGAAGATAGCGTTGCTGATGACACTGTTGAAACGCAATTTTTCGTTCCACGGTGACATAAATTCGACTTGTTTGTAGAGTTATTGCAACCGTATTTATTACTCTTTAACGTCATAGCAATATTATCCCGCGTAGTTGTCGATTTTGAACGTTTGACGCAATATTTTGTGGAACTATCACCAACCGAGCACTTTGGTGCGGATAGATCAATGCTGGGAATTGAATTACTAGCCTCATCTTCCATATCGCTGACAGGAAACCCATATAAATTTTCTGAAGCCAATTCTGTTATGTTAGTCGATTCACCAACGCTTTGTGATTTGTTATCTTCACTGCTGCTTGTCGTGATATCTTCTTTTTCTAAAACACTCGTTTTCCTTTTTAGGCACGTAAAATTCCGGCAAGTTAGGGATTTATTTTTACTGACTACAGGAGATAACAACACCTGATTAATTACGAAATCGTCGCTCAAATCGCCAGCTACTGTCTCCGTGCTGTTAAAAGCGACTGCTGAAGTTAAAACTGGATCTGCATGGAATTCCCCGGCATTAAGCAAACAGCTTCCGTCGTTGAAAAGACTAGTCATTGTTGGTGAAAGGGTACGGAGGTATTGTCCAGTAGCTGACCCTACAGAAACGCTATTATTAAAATCTTTTGAAGTCTCAAGAGTTTCTCTTGTCGCCTTGTCTCTCAGTTCCAAGTCCCGAAATGCATTCGAAAGAGGGAACATCTTAAATGGGCATTCAAATCCAGATGTGTCTGGAGTTTCTGATCTATTATACGTACTTACAGTGGGTTGCGCTACATCGGCAATTTTACTCTTTTTCAATAGATTTTTGTTACCTGTTTCGGTATATTCAAAACACGCTGAGTTACGTATTTTCATTGACTTTTTACATATGCGACCAATATTGCCATTGAACCGAACACGTGACCGCCTTTTGCACAATTTTGCTGAACGCGCACCTTCTATTTTCCAATCGCTAAAAGTTCCTTGGGGCGTACTTCTGAAAATTGTGTTACCTTCGTATCGAAGTTTTCTATTGGCAACGGGATTTTTGCCAGTTTCATTTGACCCAGGTTGAAACTTATTTTGAATTGTCTCTGAGTCAGAGAGAATGAAAGTCTTAGCATTAGATGCGTCGCTTAATTGTCCCAAACTCGATAAATGAGAATTTTGTCGATTTGAATCGACGCTCACAGTGCGAAATTTTGCCAACCCCATATTCACAGTGCAAGAAGTATTCTCGGGAACAGCTTTTAGGGTGAGATTGTAGCGACTCAAAAATTTCATTAGATCTTTCTGAGATATTGTGCTTATGTTTACAACGGATTGTTTTTTGTTGTTGTTGCTTTTTTCATGAGGCCACCTTGAAGTTGAATTAAGATATGAGGTAGATCGTTCGGAGCCTGACTTAGAATTGGGACAGGAAATATTAGATGAGTCTGCAACAACGTTTTGTTTTTCCAGCTTCACTGGTATTCTCGTCAATTCAATACAGTTCACATTGTCTATCGAAGTATTTTCCGCTGATGCTACAGCACTTCCGTTATTTGTGTCTATTCTGTCATGATTACGAATTTGAGATTTTAATATCACGCTTCGAGAAAGTTTTTCTTTGTCAATGGTATTTCGATCTGACAACATAAAGGGATCTTTTTGCATTGATTCATTGATTTTCTGTCCATATTCACAAGGAATATTCCCACTATCAATTGTGCCAATGACTTGCGATGAATTCAGAATTCTAGGGGAATTTTCAGTTCCATTTATATCCATAGAAATATTGTCTGTCGCGTGTGATGCGTGGGTTTGTTTTGATAAAATCACTTTAGCTCCAGATAACGTACAGCCTTCTTTCTCTGTTCCTGTAATAGTTGAACCTCCAGTCGACGTTGTATATCTAGAAATAGTTAAAAACAAATATGTCAGAATGTTATATACAATAAGTTATATTTTTTCTAATTAAGACTTAACGTTTAACACGGTGGATGAAAAAGAAACGTGGAAATAAATCACAAAAAACGTGTGTAATAAAATAAAATTATAAAGTGTTCAAATTCATAATGACCGGTGATGATCGGGAATGGGCAATTTTCAACCGTTCTGAACGGTAGCAAACTTCGACACAATTTTAAAAATCGAATCGATTAATCGTGCTGTGTCTGTAAACATCTTTATTAAATTCCTCAAACAGCGCTTCTAACAACGGACACAGTGACAGCATTAAGCTGTTATTTGGGTACTCCTGTAGTATGTGTACGAGGTTAGGGTTAGGCCATAATTTTATTCCGATTTTACTTATTATAGTTATATTACGAGTTCGGGGACTGTCTGTGTCTGTGTTAGCCAAGCTAATATACCCCCTGTTCATGAGTTTAAGCCCCTTTACACAACTTGATGAAAAATAGGCGAACAAAATTAGTTACATTCATATTGGTACATACACTTATTTGACATAGCAATGTTGCACGATTCATAACAAAGCCTGTCTGCCAGTCACAATGTGCGTTCTTAGATTATTTCGATATCTTGCTATCTCTTGGATAATGAGGCATGAGTGGTGTATATCAAAAAAGGCAAAATAGGCCATTGCTAGCCCGATTCTTTGGAGTTTAGGAAAATATTTCAAAATCCAAAGATCACCTTTCTCGAGTGACGAGTGCGCGTGACAACTCCGTTGCGCCCTCGCACGACCGATAATTATTAAATAAATTGAAGCGTTCACACGAAACTTGCTAACGCAAAATGTGTAGTATTACAAGTGAATCAAACAAAAATGCTTTCGTGGATATTGATTTTAGGATCTGGGAAAGTGCCAATTTTGTTAAACCGGTTGGGTTTGTTGTCATTGGTACTCTCACTAGAGGTAATTGAAATTACTGCCAAGTCCTAAAACAAAAGTGTTGCGGGCCATTTTCCCCGTGCATATCCTTTTATAGCACACATGCAGGGGTGGATTGACCATCAAACAAAATAAAAACGTGCTTAGGGCACTAAAAGAATAGAGGCCCCACACAAATTTTCAATGGCGCATTAGTGTCTAATAACAAGAGAGCTATGCTCAAATATATGGACACGTAATGACAATAATTTTGATGACGTCATAGCGAAAAAAAAAAGTAATAGCCTTCTGGAGGAAAATTTTATCTTCAACCACTGAAAATTTCAAAGCAATTGGTCCAGTATTCGAAGAGAAGAGCGACTTTTTAAAAACGTGTCAAAGAACAAGAACAACATAATATTGAAACGATCGTTATGTCCACTACGTGTCCAATAATAATAATAAATATTTCGAGTTGGTCAGTCGATCCAGTACAGTACATTCGGCCCTGTACACTTGTCCCGCATTTCTAAGTTTAATTTCATATTTTGGGGCAAATAGTTGAAGTAGAATTCATGCCATGTTCGGATTTAGCAAGATTGAAGCAACATTTTGGTAGAAGATTTATTTGAAGTATTCATATGGAATGAGATTAAAACAATTGGGGCACGAGGGAAACAAGTTGGGAAACAATTTTGGATGGCTCGGAATTGAGTTGACCACCGCAGATCATATGTCTGTTGATTGTTTTCGCGCAGGGACGACAAAATTTCATTTTCAAACTTCTGGGTTATACTGCTCAGATAGCCTGAAGTCTGGACAAACTTTGATCCCTAACTTTGAAAAAATGGAATACTAGTTTCTCGTAACTTCCAATCATACTGATCCCGTGTACGATGCACTGGAATATGAGTTAGCGCTTATAATTGATTTTGAAATCCATACTATACAACTTGACTTTGGATGTCAATGCAGATTACATTAAAACTGTTACAAAATAATATTAGTGTAAATATTACATAAATATCGGGATATCCCATTCCTCACAACTATATCCACGGCAATACTCAGTTATTCATGAAATGCGATCTATCTCTATTTGATAGAAATGTTTCGCAAGTGAATCAACTTGTTATTTGCCAATGATGATGACTGGTACTATAAGTCTCATTTGGCCTATTCCATAAAGCCTACTCGGCCTATAGGTTGAAATACAAAAAAATTGACGCTGGTCTTGCTTGTTGTCCCTTGGTTTCAATTCGTCCACATTGGAATATTTTAATCAATGGCCTGCAAAATTGACACTGCCATTTTTGATGTATGTAAATAAATCAAATGTTTTTGCGAAATCAATTTCAAAGTCGAACATACCGTTTTTTTTTTAATTTATGTTTTGTAATAATGATGTGACAATGTGTAGTGTTGTAATATTTTACCTAGAACACCCACAACGCATGCTAATGTGTGATGTATTCATCTAGAGATTTTGCAAATTATTATTACACATTATACCAATATTAGTTCTGGAATATCAAGATGTCAGTGTACGAGGCTATGGTCTACTTACTTCGTTAACTGCACCCAGCGTACTATGGCCATCGCAGTCGTCGTCTGAGGTATGGGACTTGGATCAGATCAGATTAATAGACCAAAATGCGTTATTTGCACGTAATACATTCGACATATGTTTTCAAGGCGAATTTTAAATACTATTGTCTATTGAAATGTATATCACAGTGAAATTGTATCTCTTTGTAAAGAGCTTCTTGAGATGCAATGCAATGAGGAAATAGAATCAATTTTCTATTCGAGAGATGTGTCACTGCTTGATTTTCATAAAACGTATCTTCTTGAAGGAAACTCTATCCAAATTTAACAACCATGCAACAACAAGTGTCACATTAGGTGTCATTTGTAAACTTTTTGCCTAGTAAGAAGACTTGAGGCTACGAGTCGTCGTAGTGTTCGCTTGCTATTTACAGTCTACAATTTCAACTTCTGATCTGTGTAAAAATATGTTTCATCAGCCACCCGTTCGGTTTCTGACTTTCTTAAAACAATACGTGCGGCCCGTCAAGATTTGCAACTCTTAATTTTGGCCCGCGAGCGACAAAAGGTTGCCGACCTCTAATTTATATGATCTGACAAATAAAAGACGGAAGTCTGGGCCTTGAATTTATTTTTCTACGTAAAAGAACATGCCCTGTCACACAGATACAATGGTGGGTTGGATGTAATGTTATAGCAATTAACCCCCAAATGTACTCCATTTCATGTTGCAATCATCAAAACAAAGTTAATTTTTCCCCAAATTCGAACAAAGACTTTCGTAGGAATCAAATTACACCAGTTTTAAGAACATAACATGTTCCACCCAGTCATTATCAAATTAAAATTTATATTCTCAAGACCTTTGGCACTGATTGAAATAATTATATCTAAGTTCCCATCCGTACGATGTACATAATTACCTATATTGAGATAAAAGGAGTTTCTGTTTATAACGTGAATCACGAGCTCACGTTTACAGTATTTGATTAGATTTATGATCGACGCATAAATACGACTCGATATCTTTCAATGTTAAGCTAGTGTGGATAAATGTTTTAAGATTTGTATTCTGTGTGTTGTGGAAATTACGGATAAAAACATATAGAGATTTTTAACGCATCTTCATTCACGTGGGCATTGAAGTTGAAGGGTGAACTGACGACTGGCAGTTCTGAGACAGTCTACGAAATAGCAATATACGGTGACACCACATTCATTTACCAATCATACATGCTATAAATGGTGACAAAACCGACTTGAATTAACCTTCTGAAACGGACCAGATCAACTGACAACAACCAGGACAGGCAACAATTGGACGGAATCAACCAAAAAACTGACCAAGCTAAAGATAAGTTTCCCTTCCATCATCTAACTAACATATTAGTCGTTAATTGGGGCCATTGCTGATCTAATATCTCTGTTTTCTTTCAGCAGCTTTCAACAATTGCCGAGAAACCGTCTCTACAAAACGTGCGAAAATCAAATTCGACCCATTACGAACGTCGGGGAGATTGAAATTGCCTGGAACAACGATTAAAGTAGCAAATTGCTGAGAAGCCGAAATAATCAAAAACATTATGAAAAGACAATAATCTCAATTGAAAACAGTTGAACTACGGTAACGGACTCTGGAAACATTAAAATCATGAATATGGACTGTATTGAACATCGATCGAAATGAACTCTTTTAGAACATAAATACGACTCGATATCTTTCAATGTTAAGCTAGTGTGGATAAATGTTTTAAGATTTGTATTCTGTGTGTTGTGGAAATTACGAATAAAAACATATAGAGATTTTTAACGCATCTTCATTCACGTGGGCATTGAAGTTGAAGGGTGAACTGGCGACTGGCAGTTCTGAGACGGTCTACGAAATAGCAATATACGGTGACATCACATTCATTTACCAATCATATATGCTATAATGTAAGTCGACCTCATCATTGTCGTATCATGAGATAAAAAAAAACTCGATTGATGTTTTGAGACCGGATTATGATTGATTTACGTAATGTACCTAGGACAGAAACGCGTCTTTATACTATGGACGGTGGAAGCTGACCTTTTTCATAGATAAATCATGCATAGTCAAACGGTGAATAGAATAACTTGAACACTTACTTTTTGCACTCTTTCGAAGTCGAATACTGCATTGGATTTTGACTCTGTAGCACCTGTGAATTGGTTGTATTGACATTTTTGTTCCATTTTAACATGTCACCATTTATAACCTTATCATTCCATTCTGAAGCAATTTGATTGTTTTCATTGTTTATTTGAATTTTATCTGTATTTTTGGTCGTTCCAAGCTTGGTGTTAGTGTCGCTATTTATTGTTTCTGGCTTTGCCATAGATAGTGCATTGCCAATCTGACTGTTTCGCGGTAATTTTGTCAGATTCTGTGGTAATGTTGCTATGTATACTATTTTCAGTCGTTTCCCAACGAATTGATTTCGTTCGTCGATAGACATGCATCTGAAAGTATAAATAAACACGATTCAATTTCATGTATAAATAACATAAGATTCGTTTGAGCATGCATTTTCTTTGTGTTACTGACGAAGTCAAAATTTCTTCCCGAGCAAAATCATCGACGTGCCATAGATGGTCAATGGATCACGGTTCGTACACGTACATGTATCGGAAAAATGTATTTAAATGCGAGTCAGGGCTTTCGCTTGATATCGGCGTAAATCATCACCATTTTACAAGAAAGCAAATCTGCCGATAGCATCGGGGAAATATCCTTGTGATTCGGATTTTCATGATTCGGTCATCATCTTCATTATAATACTGATAACGGATTGAATACCACTCATCGAAAAAAGATAATACAATTATAAATATTACCTATTACAAATATATTGAAAATAAAAATTAGGATATTAGCCTTGTATGAAAGTAATAAACACTATTTTGCGCATATAGTTAAAGCTGTTAGCAGGCGGAAACCCCAATAAAGAGACACTGAAATCTCAGGTCGATTTACAATTTTATACTACGCTATTAATGGATTTGTTCCGTTGTCAATAATGTAACTGATTCGACAGTTTTTATTATTATAAGCAAAATATTTAATTATAAAATACACAATTATAAATGAATATATTTATTTCTAATCGGACTGAATATGCATATTTTAGGACTTTAGGTTGACCTCAATGTGTGTAGTTTATTGATCAGGTAAACAGCAATAAATACCTCAATGCTATTTTTATCACCAGAAAGCGGTATTCACCTATTTGTTTGCTATATAATGTCTAATGATTAAATGAACACATTACCTTTTTCGCTTTGTCGTAAGAATGTCCTGAGATAACGTAGCCTTGTTCGAATTTGAAGAAGCGATACTGGATTTCTCTAGAGCAAGCATAACTAATACAGACTAGAATTTAGCATCTGATACATGCTCAGCAAACTGTTGAAAATAAAATAATAGTATAAATAAACTATGTAATCCTGAGATACATAAAAATTGAGACACATTTTAAAACGAAGTATCCATTTATTGCCCCATCACTTGGTTAGGACAGGTAATGAATGACCTCACCTTTCTCTGTTCAGCTTTGTTATTGAAACGCCGCTAATTTTCTGATCTATTTTATTTGATTATATTTATCTTATCCTATCCTTGGCCATATCCTTATCCCTGATCTAAGATAAACAGAATATAAAAATGATCAGCATATAAATTTCAAGGCACTAAATGCATAACCTGGCGCCCAAAGCTAGAAAAGTGAAATACTCGAAAGTTAAGTAAACGCTATAGACCGCAATAATATCATTTGTTGACATAAAAATGTGTCTCATTTTATGTTCAACCGAGAAAGGTCCTATTGTCTCTGGCAGGAGTCGTATGTGGAACTCAGTTGGAAACTGTAAACCATAGTCAAATAATTCGACAGCAAGTGCAAAGAAGCGAATTCGCGATACAGAATAATAATCACTTACAGATGTGAATATACTGGGTTTGAATGTGTTTGTATACATAGTATGGCTTCTGGTACTACTGCATTATATTGTATGGTATCATGAAACTGTCCTGTTTCTCTCGTCTTCTAGACTAGTTAGTAATCGTCGAGCATGCAATATCTTTTAAAAATTGATTTCCTATTCATAACATACGAAATCTACAGTCGAGGTTCAAACTGTAGTAAACGTGTGTCGCCGGGCAAATCTGTATTCATCACGAATATGCTAAAATAATTCTGAGTAGAATATGACATAAATAAAAGATCTAAATAAATTTTTTCTAAAATTAGTATGTATAGTGGCATGTTGTGGTAGTTCTCGGACGACATGTGTTTAGCATGTTTCTCACGTTCGTTTGCCACGTTTGACACGCTATGCATGTTGAATCTTTGGCAGGAACATGATCATGCCTGAGCCCTGGAAACTGAGTCACATCCCAGATGCGGACACAAGATAATAATATAATGCTAAACCATCATCTGATGGCACTTATAATGAACAGATTATTATAGAATATTTCGTGATTTCTATTATATTGAGAATAGAAAATATTTTGGTGCCATCTTGATTCGCTATCACTCATCTATTGAAATATATTAAAATCTACGTGTACTTTTACAGTTTGTAGACCACATAGATATAAACGACCCCAATTGGTTAAACGATTTCAACTTTTTCGTTAAATTGTGCCAAGACTGTGATCACTAACGTTTGTATTTTAACGGTATCATACTCGTTGTTCTGTAGTATGCCCGGCCAAAACAAAAATAAGATACGGTACTGTAAGGCTGACTTGCAGTTCACAGTGGTAAGTGACACGTGAGTCACCATTTGTGGGCCCTATCGGTATGCGGTGACACTTGGTGCGAAACTTATAGACAATTTGTTTTATGCTATTCAAAGAACGGTATTTCCAGATTTATATCTTTGCAAATCAGCATTTTCATTTATGCTAGGATTTAAATTAACATACAAACTATTTCCACGTATATATGAGCTAGTATATGAGTATAACTGCGTAATTCTGCTGATATCGTTTCAAATACCACCTATTTTGCGTGTCAGGTGAAATTGGACCGTAGTCTTCAAATCGTTGTTGATTTACAGATTCTTCACAGATATATGCCGGCGTCTAAGACCAAGAATACCGGTTACATTTGAAGTAGGCTACTGTATACTGTATAGCAAATCAATGTGCGTTGGGTAAAACCCAATGTATAGTAACATGAAGTATAATATGAATTAAATACATAACATACGTGCATTTAGCATTTATCACAAAGATTCGGGCCGTCTTAGAGTAATTTACAAGGATCATTTTCTCAGTAACTGTTTAAAAAACAACGCAATAGAACGCCACCTCATATAGTATGACGACGTTTACCAGAAGAGACCATGATGTAACAAATCGCATACAATAAAAGGGCAGAGTAGCGCGTGCATTGCATTTGCTAAACTGTATCGCCGACGATGACGAAACAATGTACAAACTAGCGAAGACGGCATTCTAAGCATAGCTCTTGTCCTGTAAACTATGACACTTTTCATTTAATTTCGCAGTGGTGATAATACGAACCTAAAGTTCACTTGATATCTAATATATATATTAGTTAGCGTAGATTCGAAACGTCGGATTTCCGCAAATCCTAATTTGATATCCGTGCGAGATTTTAGTATCAAAAATCCGCTGGTATTTCTTTTAGCTAGTTATTGTCAATTGCGATCTTCGCACCTGACGCACGTCCTTCCTGACTCCTTTGTTTTGCTGGGTAGTATTTTATTCTATGGAGTGCATAGAACCTCACGTTTCACTCTAACAAGTTCTACGGCCTCTTGCCATGTCAGCATGCATATATATTACTAATACTCTGAAACGATATAATGCGTAATCCAAGCACGACCTAGCCAATACAACGCTATATTCGTATTGCGACATAAGCACAACATAAACAAATGTCTTTCCTTCATTACGCGCCATTCATGCATTTATCGTTAAAAATCAGTGCAATGTGGTGCGGAAGAACGCCTCCCACACAGTAATAATCACACGGCATCAGATATTTTTCAATATCTAATTACTTGAAGCCACACCAGAAGAACCCAATACCGAATGGTATGCCGGTATCATGATTAAATAAGCCCCGCTTCAAATCATATTGTATACACAATCGCAACAACTTGCACTTTTCGCTAGTCTATATTCGACTATTCAAATACAGTTGTAAAATGTATTGAGACAGTGATATCTGCGGTACAAAAAGCAAATATATACACATTTTCGAAGCATCAACGACTATCTGCGCCTGGTAATGCTACTTTGATGTAGTTAATAACAGTATTTAATTTTCCCCCACCTCGTCAGTGCCACCTAAAACGAAAGACGAAAGATCTTTGAAACATTGAACAATTATATTAGATTATAACCATTGTATTATATCCATATATATAAGTTGACGTAAAACGGTAAAACTTGAATTGTTTTGAATTTATACAGCTACAGGAAACGAACACCTCTTACACAACACCACACTTCCTAAATGGTCTCTGTCTAACATACAGTTTCCATTCAAAACAAAGTATCTCCTCTGTCGTAACTCTATCTTTTTAAAACGAGTTTGATATACGGACAGCCAAGTTTTCTTTGAAAACGATATGCCATAAAACATCTTTATTTTTAGAATATAAAATGACAAAACGGAGGTTCATTTTGTATCCAGTCATTAAACACCAAATTCATTTTACTTGCTTCTTACGATATAATCTAATAGTACTGATTGTAACTGAACCTATAGTTAATGACTATCGAAAACTAGTAGCAAGCTTGCCTACATTAAAGGAAATAGCTGTGATTCCCGTGAGTGGACCAAACATACGTTCAATCCGTGTTCAATGCTATACGTGACTTTAAACTACCTCTGTGCTCTGATCCTTTTTCAATTAGACATCACTGTATCATGATTTCTTTTTAGTCATATGCACTGTGTTGAAGTTGATGCTCTCTGAAATCCCCCTACTTCACATACGAATGTATACAATACATAATCGTATATATATATGATTGGGTTAGTTATACAAAATAAACATATTAACTAATCAATAAAACATTATTAGTGACAATAGGTGACCGTACATTTGAGCCCACGTACATTCGAACCCTCGTGTATATCCGCGGGTTCAATCTATGTGCGGGTGCTAAAACCCACGAGTTAGGGTTTGTATGGGTTCAAATATCCGTGAAACAAAAAAAAAATTCAATGGTGCAATAGTATGCAAGTGCAATTGTCGTTGGTTCAAATGTACGTGGTTCAAATGTACGGAAACCGTGACAATCACCTACTACAAACTACAGTTGTGGTAAATCAAGAACTTAGCGGTAAATAAAACGTTTTAAAACATTGCGCGACTGATCGTCAATAGAAATAAAAGATGTCAAATTGAAAAGATCTGCATCATTGCAGTGATTTAACGCTCGCTAAAGGTTGTCTCGATGTTCAAATTTGTATTACCTTTAAAATCGTGATTATGGGTAACTTCTAAGAGTGTGTTATGTATTAAGCTAAGGTAGTAATAGCCTACAACAGTGACAATCCATCAATTTATTTTCCAAAGAATAGCTAACGTCGCACACGTTAAAATATTTTACTCAGCAAAGGTCACTGATGAGTAAGCACGCTACGAAAGGTCACTGTCGACAGCAACGGCGAAATGCACATCCCTTATAGTTATACTTTAAATATGCTGAAATAGTTTACCTAACTAAGACGTACCGGAAAAAAGGAGGGTATGAGGAAATGCTAATATACAAAATAACGTTCCCTATACTATCAGAATGACCAATAGTTAAATAGTTTACTGATTTTTCCAGTATTAACCCAAAACGTTTCTCTTGTTATTACCATACTAACCACACACGTCTCTACTCTCTTTCTATGTCCCGTGTGGTCTTCACTCACGGCCATTATCCGCTGACTTCAATAGTGCATTGTAATTTCGTATATCTATCATAGATTGCACTCTGGACAGCACTTCCTCTTTAAACCTTGTTTCTAGTGTCATGTTCTGTTTATTGTATAACCTCAATCTATCTAGCACTCATACATCGATTCTTGTTACGTATGACTAAGCACAGTTGCATGGATGAATTAAACAGCTCACCATTCGAATTTACGGCGTGGTCTGATTCACTCTACTACTTCCGGTCGACTTCTGGCGCCTTCCATTTTATCCTATTATACAAGTTATGTGCAAGTTCTTGAGATGTATCGATACAAATTTTGCCGATGTTTTACCGATTTTTCGGAAATCGGGAAATGCCGAATTTTTAAGTATAAAATGATAAAAACAGACGATATTTTCAAATAAGTTTAGAAATGTCGGTCGGTAAAATTGCTAATGCAATGCATGTATTACCAAAACGAACGATGTGCCAATATACCGGCACATATCTGACCCACAGCATGACCAAAACTCAATATGAAATGTAACAGCAAAGGTCAGATCGGAAAAATATATTTTTGCAGTACTAGATTTTGTGGCAGTTTATGCATTAAAATCGATTGAACGAACATTTGTTTGGATAATCAGCTAAACATGGAGTTTTTTTTATTTTTCATTTCTCAGTCAAACGTTATATTTTCAATTTTAATATATAAAGCTATCATGGTTATTTGATAACAATTTTTAACGACTAATACACGCGTCACAAGAGACTTGTTAAATATCTAAAACTATTTGAAATAGATATTGAGATTAAGATCCGAGATTTGAAAATAAGAGATGGTATTCCAAAACTGGCATTCGAAGACGCTTGAGAAGAATAAAGCAATCTTTATGCTTCATTTAGTTGTTGTTGTTTATCCGTGTTTATCCGCTCTAACAAAGCACGTCTGCTATATTTTCAACATTTCTTTTATAAGAAAATCAATTGTTACTGAGATTACTGTTATATGTATGTACATTCATTTCTCGAAACGGTAAGATATTGTATAAATGAGGTTGCGGTATTATTATTGAAGATGAGATAAATGCACAAGAACGTGTGCCGTGAATCCCAACAAAAACAACATAATTAGGAAACGATCCGTATGCCCGAAAAACAAAATATAAAACACAGGTATTTGGTTTGTACAGACGATTGGACCGATGTTCCAAATTGATTGCTAGCGAGGTTGAGTAGGTAAGTGAGTTTATTTCAATTTTCCGTTAAAATAATACAAAGAGGCAGTATATTTGGCTAAAACGTAAAAATTCAAATAAGACCTGAGAAGTGCTGGATACACGTGACCACTTACCCCAAACAGCAAACAAAACACTTAAGTAATAAAAATACACCAATATAATTCGGGAGTAAAAGTACAATTTTCGTTATTGTCATTATTCATTATCTACAAGACATTCGTAAGCAGTGGTCGTAAAAATTAAGTGATGCACAATCTGTGATAATTAATCCGATTATTTAATATATATATATATATATAGAGAGAGAGAGAGAGAATTATTTTCACAAAACAATGTTAGACACAAAAAAATATAATATTGCAGATTTTTATAGAAATACAGTGTAGCGAAAAACTTTAAACATCGAATTGTGTAGGTCAGTATGCAAGACCTTTGCAGGTCATCGAGGGTCCTGACCATTCTGCAGGCTTGTCCATGGGAAACGTCCAATGGGATGGGATGGGACAGCACACATTTGTTTTTTCCCATAGGACTCGTGGGACAAGAGGACGCTCAGGAAACGTAAGACGAATGGGTCAATTTTACATAGGCTTACGTTTTGTGTGTAAATAAAATTAACATTATGTCCTCAGCGATGCGGTTTAAATAAACATGATAGTGAGGTAACGTGGTATCACGATATTGCGTATAACGTAAGTGATAGTTATTAAACAATTACATTATAGAGCGCGATCAGAATTCTAGCTTTTCTGTGAAACTGGTGGGATGAATCTTGCCTGGGATGGTATTCATATGACCCAGAATTTTTTTTCATTGCGATCGGGCCTGAGAATGGGGGGCTATCTGGTCTTGTTACAGGAATAACTCTGTTGTTTACATCAGATTTGCATGTAACATGAGAGTGAAGGAAATGGTTCAAGAATTACCCAGATTAACTGAACAAACAGTGGATGAGCAGGAAATTAATAATTTGCTGAATGAGCAGAGGGACTTCTAAACAGAAAACGAGTGTCAGAATGATATTGCCTTAGTTAGGCAAACATTTTGTCGTTTTGCATGTCTCTTTGTGCATATAGTCCTATTTTTAGACACTAGACCTAAATATTCATACATTTAATAATTTTTTATTGAATAGTATTCCTATGGATGTTTCCCCGAGAATCGACTTCTTTGTTTACTTCCGTAACATGAACTAATCAGCAAGATGCAAAAAGTGACGTGACAATAGACGTTTTAGCAGCTGCTCGGACACTTTTTCACTCAGACAGATTTGCAGGCATGGTTGTCGATATTACCTCATTTAGTTGCAGTAGTAATCAAATATTAGTCATGAAATAGCTGCGATAAACTAGGATAAACTTCCTCACCAGTACTTTTAAATGACTGGTTGTTGAATGTATTCAATCAAAACAATGGTATGAAACATATAAACACTTCAGTTCAGTCTTAAGTTCGTACAAAGATGAGGCGGACTTCAACAGGACAGTATCATCTTCAAATAGCGATGAACAGAAAGTATATGCAGCTGGAAAATCATTCGTATAACATAAAAATAGCAGAGGGCCAATTGTGGAGCCATGTAGAACTCCGCATTTGATGATGCCCATTTCAGATACATATTCGCATTCTGAACATATTGCTGACGACCACGCACATATGACGCCATGAGATTAAGTGTATGCCCTTTAAGCTTTAACACTGTAATGGCGTAATTTATTAAGAAAGATTAAGTGGTTAATCGTATCAAATGTTTCCTCAATGTCCAAACAAATTGCGCAGGTGATCTCGTTGTTTGCACTGTTATTCAATATCATTTCCTTAAGCTTAGATATACCTACCCGTAGTTCAATTGAATAACTGTTTTTTAAACCAAACTGGGACAGATTTAAAGCGCTGTTTTTCTCAAAATAAAAAACTTTGATTCGACTATATAAAATATCCTCATACATTTTCACAACTTTCGACAGTGAAGAAATAGGCGCGTCGCTGTGACTCATCATGCCAAGCGTTAGGAATACGCACGCCACCGTACCTCTGATTACTCTGCGTGGGTTCGCAGTTTCGTATCCCATACGGGGAGGGTTAGTGCGAGATGAATGTTAGACTTTTCGCCGCCGTGGGGTGGTTCACGTAACCGCTGGTCGGTTACGGCTTCCTCCACCATCAAGCCCATACTTCCGAAAACAAATAACTAACTAATCCCATACTCGACATGGAATGGTAACCGGACGAGAGACGAAATAATAGGTATGTTATCTTAAGCCGTCTAATCATTTTTATGAAGTGGCACCACCTTTGCTATTATTTAAATCTCTGGGTACACACTTGCATGGAAAATTTGATTAAAAATTGAGAAAAAATAGGTGACAAAACAAATTTGGCAATTTCGAATTTTTTACAGGTATTTCATTGCTACCGGCATCTTTACTTTCATCCAATTTATCAATTTGCCGTTATCCACTATAATATGTGATGGTAATTTGATTTTCTTTGATGAAGTGCCAATTATTATGAGTATTTGATTTCATGTTTTAGCAATGTAGTTTTGGTAGCGAGAAAAGACGTTTTTTATAACCATGTTTGTTCGTATGTGTATATATGAAAAATGCTATCCTTAAATCCTGATGAGCTAGCACCATGTCATAGTCATAGTCAAGTTTATTTTTTCCCATTCAGTAAAAAAATAACATACGAAATTAACAAAATACGAAACTGAAAACACATTTTTACTGGGGAAGGGAAGTCGCGGGGAACCAGGAATGGTTATCGAGCAGCGACACCCGGCAACCGCCGAGCTACTTGACTACGGAAAATTTAAAAGCAGGTTAAAGATTACCTTACCGCGGTTTATACAACAATATTAACAACCAATATTCAAAAGCCCTAATTCACTTTGAGTCGAATAAAGCATAGAGTGGATATAAAAAATAAGTTGAAATTGCAGCTCGTGACGCCCAGATACCATTTTGAGGCACCTGAAAATTTGTAGTGGCAGATACCGCGGCGTGCTTTGTTCTCGAGAATGGTGTGGTGCCACAGTGCCACACATGCTAGGTTCAAAGGCTAGGTTGGTGTGTTACTTCTCTTCCATGCGAGCCGGGCTTCGTAATCAGTAATTTATTTTTCCACCAATACTGAAAACTTCAGAACTTCCGTTTTTACTTAATTTTTGCATCGCTTGCGTCATCCGTATAGATAATGTCTATCCTACAAAAAATTGCAGATATAGAGTCGGAGGTGAGTGAGTATTCCAGTACCGGTATGTATGAAATGTATGTATGAAAACCTAAAACGTCCAGAAGAAATTGAAATTTCGTGTAGTTTCGTACCCCAAGTGCGGTACCGGTGCATCTGGCGCATAGTGGGTGTAACGATGTCAATCCTAACCCCAGAACCCCCATGTTATGCTACGCCCACTAGAAGTACCTGAGGTACGAAACTACACGCAGGGGGCTGCACCACCCACATGTTTTGTGTCATTGTCCTATCAGTTGTTTTATGGGGTTTCAACAAAATTGCACAAAAGTTACACACAAGACTTAGAACTTAGTGGATATAAAATATATCTGTATATAGTAAAATATAGCGTGACACTACAGGGCGGCAAGACACACAAGACTTAGAACTTAGTGGATATAAAATATATAGTAAAATATAGCGTGACACTACAGGGCGGCAAGTCCACCCTGCGTTAACGCTTCGTTGTGTTGTAAATTGTTGCGATAGTACCGGTACAGCCGGAGCCCATACTATTTTCTGGTGCAGTAGTTGAAGGACGCGTCTACTGCTATATGTGATGCTAAAGTTACTTAATGTAACACTGTAGATCCATGCTGGTAATGTGCACTACGGGACATTTTTTCACTCCGGAACCGCGGCCTCTAACATCTCTTAAAATTTTGGTAATAAATCTTTAAATAGGAGAAGACATGACCTACAGCACTGCAAACTCTTAAGTCTTATCAACTTAAGTTCAGTACGTCTATTTGAAATGAAATAACTGTAGGCCTACCAGATAATTAAACGCTTCTAATCTAAATTTCTACATTTCAGGCCACTTTGTGTAAATCATCAAAAACCTGAGTGAAATTCTGACTTTTGCGGTGAAATGAACGCAGTCCAATAAAATTCAAGTGTCCTTTGATATAAAAAATACAAAACAATTACTTTCCCTACACTTTTGAAAAAATGGATGAAATTCAACAGTTGCTGAGTATGGCCCATATACTGCTATGTAATCAATTCTTAGGCATGTTTGAAACATCAGTACATACAGACAATCAAGATTGTTTTTTAATACTGCAATAGCCTCTGTTTTTACATTGCTAGATGGCAAGAACACAGAAGAACAAGGCAACTGCTGGGCATCTTGGACTTCTCAAGGCCAAACTCGCAAAGCTTCGAAGAGAGTTGATCACACCAAAAGGAGGAAGTGGAGGAGGAACAGGGGAAGGTAATTTCATTCATAAGCAACCTACTGACCTAACGTGATATAAATGTAATTGCGAAAGTCGCCTCTAATAGAATTTCATAAAAACTGAAATAAGATTCAAAGGGTCTTGATGATTACTGAAAGAGTTATGTATATTTTTAGTAAAAGTGAAAATCAACTTGATTTCAACCTCTGGATTATTCGAAAAAGCAGAAAGAGGATGGGCGGTCATGGTTGTTAATAATCATTGGTTCGTGTATATTACAAACACATATGTCCGTGATCAATAACCTATATCAGTGGTTTTCAATGGTTTTGGTGGAGTGGAACCCAACTGAATCATTCCAGAGACTTGAGAAACCCTTGTGTAATTCTTAAATTGCAACTTTAATAATAGCGGTAAACCTAATATGTAGGATATATGAATATATTTGAAAACCAAATATAGATTCTCTGATTTGAATATAAACTTTTCGAAACCATGAACTGTGCTGCCTGGAACCCTGGTTGTGAACTACTGATCTAGAGGCTCGACTGGGTGCAATAAAGTTTTCTTTCACCACAAATAATTGTGGATTTGAATAGTCCATTCCATGTTGATAGCCATTAACTATGTAGCTACAAAAGCAGTCATTACTGTCTTGAAGACAGGTTAGGGTAGGGTTGCAATTGTGACCCAAATTTATTTCCCACTTTAACAATTAACAGAATCCACATTGAAGAGGTATTCATTGATCATATTTTATTATTCATATTAAATGTAGGATTTGATGTTGCAAAAACTGGTGATGCACGAATTGGATTTGTTGGTTTTCCATCTGTTGGAAAATCAACTTTATTGAGTAATCTGGCCGGAGTTTATTCAGAAGTTGGATCGTATGAATTTACAACTCTAACTACTGTCCCTGGAGTTGTAAGATATAAAGGTTGAATAATGTTTCATGTTTGTTTCTTGATTTCATATACACTCGTTTCATTTGTGACATCCCAAATAGTAACCACAATCTTCAGAAATATATATTGTTATAATTGTATGTTCCAAGGAAAAATTGAAATTTGAATTTATTTTATTGTTGAACGCTTTTTTTTAATATTTTAAATTTTTTGGTTAAATTATCCTAAATTTCGCAATAATATAAATTGACGAGAGGGCATTATAAAGTCATAACATTTTCATGTGTGTCATAGTCCGTTTGCTAAAAAAAATGTTAATTATCTCAATAAATGTGTATATTACAATTCACAGGAGCCAAGATTCAACTGTTGGATCTTCCTGGTATTATTGAAGGAGCCAAGGATGGTAAAGGTCGAGGAAAACAAGTTATTGCAGGTAGATTACAAGTTGTTGATACTTTTCAAATAATTACTTGTCCCAGTGAGCTATTATATTATCAATTTCAAAGTAATATTACTGATAAAGTTTCAGGTATTCAATATCGTTTCTACTTTTTTTTTATAGTGGCAAGAACATGCAGTCTTATATTTATTGTACTTGATGTTTTAAAACCTCTTGGTGACAAAAGATTGATAGAACACGAACTTGAAGGATTTGGCATCAGGTTAAACAAGAGGCCGCCAAACATGCATTTCAGAAAGAAAGATAAAGGAGGGGTCAACTTGCAATGTTTAGTATGTATTAATTAATATTTAAAACAGTTCATAATATAGTTTGGAATATGGATTTAAGGTGGCGAATTAAAGCATGTCTTATCACTGAATGCACTTTAGTTTTTAAGTTCGAATCCTGTGGAAGATTTTTATGAGGACAGTTTATGAAATATCTTGACATTAGGGACGAATCACTGGTTAACTATTTTCACCACCACAACCAGAAATGCTGATTGGACATAGGCAGTAGTAGCCTACTGGACAAAGCCATTAATCAAGCTTTCTTATAAACTTTACCCTCCCTTTGGATAAGTATAGAAAATCCTGCCCTTTCTTGAGTTACTTTCAATTTTACTTGTCTGATTTTCTATTTTCCAAGTCAGTTGATTGTATCTATCATTATGGTATTCACTTAACTTTACTTGATGTTCTCAATATTGAGAATGGGGCTACTATTTCTCCCATATATATTTGAATTCAGTTTTTCTGTATCACCATGAGCATATGGGGACTACTTTTGTGGTAAAGCCTGTGATTGATGTGTGACTACACTTTCAATATATTTAGAATGCAAAGTTACTACCGGCATTTTTCTTTGGATTTTCTGCAGAATTAATTCCATCATCTTTTGACGTTTTCCAGGTCCCTCAAAGTGAATTGGATGGCCCTCTGGTAAAAAGCATATTATCAGAATATAAAATTCATAATGCTGATATCATTCTACGAGAAGATGCTTCATCTGATGATCTTATTGATATGGTTGAAGGAAACAGGGTTTATGTTCCCTGCATTTACTTGCTAAACAAAATTGATCAGGTACTCTTCGCCACAGAAAAAACAAATAAGCTTATGTCATATTTTAAGGTTTTATACACATCACAATTTTTAGGTTTCGAATCTAGAAATGGACACCACCTTTGTTGAATGCATTTTGCTTGTATGAAAAACCTTAATCTGTAGACTTTTTAGGTGCCTATATAATATGGTTAATTTACCTGCTCTGATGATTGTATTTGCTATTTGACTTAAATTGATTATACTTTGCGAATTGGCAACCAGATTGCTTTTTAATTTGACAACAAATCTTCTTGTGTTCCAATCATTTATATATTTGCTTTGTTTTTTAGCCCATTGTGCTAATTACCATTATATACAAGTATTGGGTTATCACTATCAGTCACCATTCCAGATTCGAATCTTGTGTTTTATTTATTATCACTTGATTATGTACTATTCCAGATATCAATTGAGGAACTTGACATTATTTATAAAGTTCCACATTGTATTCCAATATCTGCTCATCATAAATGGAATTTTGATGATTTATTAGAAATGATGTGGAGTTATCTTCATCTGGTGAGAGTGTAAGTATGAGGAGTATTTATTTCAAGGTGATTGGACTTGTATGCTGTTCATTTCATTGAACACATTGTTATAAAAGGATTGGGCTAATAGCATTACTTGGAAGTACTTTTCATATGTGTTCAAAACAAAACTATATATTGAGTCCATTGAACAGAATATCCAGAATTACAGAAATACACAAGTATTCGGATGTCTCTAACTATACCTTGTATGAAGTTATTTTTAGTATCTCAAATAACTATATTCAGATATACCAAACCAAAAGGTCAACTACCAGATTATGAAACTCCTATTGTTTTGTCATCAAATGCATGCGCTATCGAAGATCTTTGTGTGAAAATTCATAAAACACTTGTAAAAGAATTCAAATAGTAAGTTACTACGATTGCATTTGAATTTGTGGATCAAGTCATTATTTTTGGTTAAAACCTGGGTTTCAGACTTTCAGTGTTGTTATATGGTGCACCTGTTAGATTTCCTTTGATTAATGCTATGACTGTGATGTAGGCCTACATAAATATACCATATTATATTATGTATTGTTATTACAATATACAAATTTAATTCCTGTAAATGAGCACATGATTTTTATATTTTATAATCACTTTGGGTCTTCGAATTTTAATCAAGATATAGATAATTTGTTAACCTCGACTCATCTCAAAGTTGATTTTTTATATTATGACATATATATATGCCTTTTTTTCCAATAAGACCATTTATAAGCCGCCACTGATATGAAATGATCGCTTCAGCATTGCCTACTTAATTTATTACAACTGAATAAGGTGGCAAGAATGGGATAAGAACATGAGATTTAAACCTATGGTACCACCATAGTTAAGTCTAATGCTTTAATTACTAGACCAATGCACCCAAGCATGATTTTGCAGCTGGTTGCAGTGCGAATTTTTGTTCAACTGCCTGATACAATCCAAAATTATCTGAGTCTCCACGAGTTGGCGTATAATTTTATTTCCAATTTCAGTGCCCTAGTTTGGGGTAGCTCCGTGAAACACAATCCACAGAAGGTTGGAAAAGAACATGTACTCAATGATGAAGACGTAGTACAAATTCTTAAGAAGTAAGTTCATATTTTTGTTTTCTGAAGATTGCTTCAAGATTTTCTGGTCCTTTCTGATAGTATGAAACATGTATTATTATAGTTCTTATCATGTACAAAATATCGCTTGCACATTATAAAGATGGTCACATTTTGCTTTCAACGTAATTCATTAATTTTGTAGATTTTTATAACTTTTTTTTGTACTTCGAAATTGTAGTGTGAAGTAATCAATATGTATTCCATCATATTTTTTGAACAATATTTGTATCAGTGATATGAACTTCAATTTGGTTAATATTCACATTCAGGCCATAAATATATCACATCAAGTACCTATGCAATATCATATACAGTTCTCTTTAACGGTCTTATCTGTTTTCTCAAGAATTGAAACAAGATGACACTTAGGTCATCAACGGATGGAAATAGCAAGTTGCCAATGATTTCAGTCATTGTTTATTTCTTATTCTTGCTATCATTATTTGATAAACTCCATTTTTTTCAGAGTATGACAATGCTCTCTGCTGCCACAAGTTATAAAGATGCGCAAGATTGTTCCAGCAATATATTTGTACTGTATATAACATTTTGACTTGTACAGTAGTGAATTAAATATTATCTCTTATAAAAACATGTGATGATAAAAGTCAAAGCAGTCACACAGTTATGGTTACAACCAGTAATGGGATTCAAATATTTTGTCAGCCGGTTCCATCACAAAAGTCATATTTTTCAGCCGGATCTGTTACAAAAAGTCATATTTTTTAGCAAATAAACTGATTATTTTCAATTACATCCTAATTAACATTTCAAAATAATGGTTAAGTAAGCATCATTATGCCAAATTTTAGTTTCGGAAATTTTTGATGATGTTGAGGATTGTCTATATTGTATATATTATATACTCGTTGATAATTAACTCAAAAACCTGAAACCTACTGAAAACACATGCTTGAATGTTGATATTCTATAAAATTAAAACACAAGAAACTTTATGAAATTAAACGCAAATTTTGCAGTCTTTACATCAAATATTTCCAAATGGCGAGCTGATTGTCATCAATTTCTTTATCTGTCTTTTTTTTAATCCTATTGTCATGGTGCGAACCTGCTCAATCCCATCACTGCTAACAGGCACACTAAAAGCAGCAGTCGTCTCATGACTTGTACTTATGCCCCAACAATTCAATTTTCACGCAAACAATCATAAAATCAAAATTACCACAATTATAAAAATTAACACACAACTGTTACGTGTAAACTCGATCATTTCTCATTTCGAAAAAAACAAGTGAGCTACTTGGTCTCAAAAATCTGTGTCTCACAATAGATGCAAAAACCCATTGACAGTAACCAGTAATGCTAATTAGTTCGCTGATCTCATAAAATTCCGTGAGACGGTTCTATAGAACCGGTACGAACCGGCTGAATCCCACTACTGGTTACAACCATCTATCTCCATGTCTGATGATGGCTGCCCAGCATAGATATGTACTGATCTGTATGTAGGAGTATGCCATTGACTATTATATATCTAGGACGCTGATATTCAAATGGGGTACACCAGAAAAATTATTGCACAAAAAAGCAAGTAAAATCAAACTTTTCGATCGTAATCCTTTATTGTAACCGTTTGGTTTTAAAGTCTTGGTACTTCGATACGTCTTGACATTGATTCGTTAACCCCGTTCACTTCTATTTTCGTTTGAAAAAGTATTATTATAGTCAAATTGTAGGCTCATCAAACGAGTAATTGTGAATTATATAATTGTAAGGTTATAATATAATTTAGTCTACTCGTGTCTCACAACAAATTCTCTTACGTGAAGTATATAATCGCCAGAGCCGTTCTGTCGACCCCTGAAATACAGTGATGGCTGCCCAGTTATTTGCTTCAGGCGCACAGACTCGACGCGGCCTGAGGTCGTTACTGGCCAGCAAGTACTCGCGCCACCCACTATCAACCACCTCGTATATAATTATACTTGGCGGGATTTGACCTCGCGCAGGGTGATCGTAGGTGCGATGACAAACCATACGCCTTTGTCGCTGGAATGAATTAATGCATAGAAATTTTTTTACTAAAAAGTAGGATCTTTTGTATATGAGGATTTATAGTGAATTCTGGATCGATCGCTGACAGACCTTTGTAGGTTTGGGCGTTGTTTGCTGTGTGGGCAGAACCGAAAACAGGAATGAGAGCTATGAGTCTGGTAAAAAGGATAAGAGCATATGGTTCCATTACATTTGAACCCATGACAATTGCACCTATGGAAATTTTTTTGTTGTACGGATAGTTGAACCCATACTAACCCTAACCCATGGGTTTCAGCACCCGCATATTGATTGAACCCGCTGATATAGACATGGGTTCAAATGTACGTGGGTTCAAATGTACGGTCACCAGAGCATATATCACACGTCTTGAAGCTCCCATCCATCGAATATTTGTAAAATATGGTCAGTTCTGCTCAATTTGAACTTGTATTTTAGGACGTTGGATTATCTATTCTTTTTCTTCGCGTCGGCGGTTCAGTACCTGTTGTCATAATCGTTTCCTTTCTTACCATTTCTCGAACAACGTTCATGTCAACTTCGTGTTTGTGCTTAATCGTGAAAAAGTTCTGGTTATTCGAAATAGTTGGAGCCGTTTCATCAACTGGATCCCGTATAACGAGAGCATCAAAAATAGATTTTTCTTCTTCCGTAATTTTGATTGTTTCCTTGCCCACCCTACCCGGAGTAGAGAGATACCTTCTTCGCTGAACCGGGGATGTAATGCTGAGTGTGGCAAGAATTTCTTGAAGAGTAGACGGTTTATCCTCTGGCTCAGATCGATATCGTGGTCTCCCTTGTCCCAGTTTTGTACATCTCTTCGTTGTTTGCTGATTTGATTGTGTCGGGAAAACTCCTCCCAATTCTTGAACTATAATAGGTAACCGATTACTATATATATATTTAATACATCATTTAGGCCTACATTTTTAATACGCACATTTTAAAGTTCTCTAGCCCTATAGCGGGAATTTATTACATCGTGTATAAACTGATGACAAAGCGTAACCTAGCTAACCTTCGTGTGAGTGACCAAGAATAGTCTCATATGGTACTTGATCATTTTTATTTTCCGGTGTGAAACTAGGTTCAGGCGTTCGTTTCAGCAGCAACTTTTGCTCAGTTTCCTGCTGGTTTCGTAACTCTGTCGCCTCAATCTTTTCGGGCTTTTTACTTTCGTCGATAATTGCATTTGAATCTACAATTGAGTTAAGAAATTACTTTTCATCGCTAGTTTTGACGAAAAAAATGAACGATGGTTTTAGATATTTTTACCATTGTCAAAAATAACTTTCTCTTTGCTAGTGTCATTTGAATAGATGGAAGATATAGATTGAATGCATTTCAATACAATTCAATATGGTTTGTAAAACTGTTGATACATTTCTTTAACTTACTTCCAGTCGGACGCAAGTTTTGAAATGATTTCCGTATGTATTTTGCTGTCTGGCCATGGTTCCGCAGAGAATTTTTCTTTGCTTCACGCACCCATTCTCCCGATAGAAGTTTAAATTTTACGATGCTGATTGTATTTTTCAAAGTTTTTGCGATGCTGCAAATAAAAATGTTTTTATTTAACGTTATAAAGAGAAGCACAGATTAATTGTCTTCATCTATCTATCCAATAATTATCTTCCGTGAGTATTACCTGCCAACCAACCTTGCAAATTTTTTTATGTGGGTTAAATCCTTGTGTCAAATAATACCTACAATAAGAGCTGAAAGATATTGCAAAGACTCCAAGTGAAAGATTATTGAGCAAAATGAGCACGTTCTTAGGGCAGAAAGGAAAGGGATACCACAGAAATTTCCATAGCCAATTTTTAAGGGTGTCTCAGTGTTGAGTGAAATAATTCGTAATAATTCCTTAGGAAGGATTAGGCTTCGCCATTTACATTAGCTCATGCGAATAGGAATGAACTTGCGAGTAAATAGACAAACAGTATATGTTAAAACTGAAAACATGTTAAGGCCTCTATGATGAGCACGTGCTTAGGGCAGAAAGGAAAACCACAGAATATATATAACAGTATATGTTAAAACTGAAAACATTCTAATTCAGTATTACTTTCTGCTCCATTGCAAAAAAAGTATTGATATAGTCAATTGAAAATGATTTTAAGGAGAAAATAATTGATCATAAAACTACCTTATTCTCTTTTCATCCATTTGTCTCACTAACTTATCTCTCTCCAAAACCTTTAAAATCTCATCTCTTTCGGGGTTTGTAAAAACCGTCAGATCCAATCCTTCCACTGCCATTATATATTGAAACGACCTATCAATCTACATGTAAGGAGATGTAAGTTTGAATTTTTTTGTTGTTGTTACGAGCATGTGCATCACTCGTGAACTGCAGCCGTATGACTCGCATCCGGTTCAGCTCGTAGTGTCAGATAACAGTGGTGTAGGAATGCGTGAGGTGAATCGGAAAATTTGCACGCCTCAGTCAGTCAGTCAGTCAGTAGTTTATTTTATCACATACCAAAAGTACACAATAGACAATAATAACTACGAATCACATATAAAACAATACTTTCAGTGTGAAGGGAGGCGCGATAAACCAGAAGAGGTTATCGAGCAGCGTCACCCTGGGGGAGTGAGTCTAAAAATTAAATCATAGTGAGAAAAAAGTCAAACAGGATACTAGCAAAAGTCGTGAATAATAAATAAAGTCGAAGACGGCCTTTTTACACATTTAAGTGACCGATATCACGGTGTCACTCTAGTTAATATGAGAATGCGACTCCCGACACCACTGGTCGAGGTAGCCATGGTAACAGCAGTTGGTTATTGAATAACAAACAGAAAAATAAAGTCGAGTTAGTTATTCCAATCGATGCGCAAATAGTGTTATATTTTGACGCCGTACCGAAGTACGACATAGGAGGGTAGAGACCGCCGGAAAGTATAAGTGAGTTCAGTAGCACTCAGAATTTGAGTGATTTTTAAATATAAAATCGTAGGTCTCTACCGAAGGTGGAGGCAGATGTAAACATGAAAATGTGACAAAAATGGGCAAAAAAGCAGTAAAAGGTAAGCATTTTTCTGGTGAATGCTAAGCTATTAATCATAGGATAGATCCAGTACAAAAGCGCATGAGACAACAAAATGCACTAGAAGTATACAAATAGGATGATGAGAACCACTATAGTACCGGTAAGGTATCATGGTAAATTAGTTAAATAAAGCTGCACTTAATAAATACCAATAATTGATAATAATATTTTAATAAATAACAATAATACGAGTTAACCCTTGTGGTATTAAGAGATAGTTGTTTATTAAGCGTTAACTCAAAGATAGGCACTTGTGTGTGACTGTATGACCACGGAAATCTGAGTTAGATTGGAGGTAAGAAAACTGGCGATAAATAAAGCAGTTCAAAAATTCTATAAGTTTGCGCACATCAACATATATAGAGTATAACAAGAATAGGGATGAATTATGACGATTCCACAGTAATATTGCAATATATAAAATACAACAAGCATTTAACAGCAAATAAACAGGTCTCTTCATTACAGGCAGGCTGTGGATCGAGTTGAACATGACCTTGATGGACACAAAGCAAGGATAAAATATGAAACAGCGACTTGGAAAATTCAGGTGGGTTGGTAAGAGGAAATAATGAATTTTTTATAATTAAATTTGAAAGTCATGTAAGATGACTCACGTAGGTCTTGGGGTAGACTGTTCCAAATTGAAACACCTTGATATTTCAAAGAATTTTGGGATTTGCTTAGTGAGAAGCGAGGTACAAAAAAATTACTCTTTGTTGAGGAGCGGGTGTTATATTTATGCACTGAAGTTAGGGTGAGAAAATACTGGTCGAAAGCCGCTGGCAATTGATTGTTTTGGAATTGGTGCATAATCTTAGAAATTTCTAGTTTGTAGATGTCATGTAATTTTAGTACTCTATGCTTATAATATAGATTGTTTAAATTGGAACGTAAAGGTGCCCAAGAAAGGATTCTAATGGCCCTATTTTGTAAGACTTCCAATTTTCGCATGTTTACTTTAGCTGTAGAACCCCATGCCGCTATGGCATACTGAATGTGGGCCTGAAAAAGTGCGAAGTAAATGGTTCTTAGTGTGGTATCCTGTAAGTAATATCTAAGCTTACCCAGGATCCCTACCGTTCTTGATAGTTTTCTATGCAAATCAGCAGTGTGGGTGTTCCACTTTAATTGGTGGTCGATATTGAGTCCTAGATATTTATAAGACTGGACTACTTCTAAATTTCTGCCATTGATTCCAATTGCGAGGTTGGGGTATCTAGTGTGAGATTTTGAACTGAACACCATGACTTTTGACTTGTCTATATTCACTGTAAGCTTGTTGCATAACATCCATTCATAAATTTTATTTATTTCAGTGTTCATATTTAGCTGAAGTGTAGTCGGATCCTTCGCGCTGGTGAGCAAGCATGCATCATCTGCAAATAGTTTACTCAAAAGATTCGAGCTGTTGGAAAGGTCGTTTATGAAACATAAGAACGCTAATGGGCCAACTACTGAGCCCTGAACAATTCCGCAGTGGATGGGTAACATTGGGGATCTATGGGGACCTATTTCAACAAATTGATACCGGCCTGTCAGGTAATCGGATAACAGTTTTCCTGCATTACCCCTAAAACCGTAATGTCTTAACTTGTGAATGAGAATAGAGTGGTCTACGGTATCAAAAGCCTTTTTTAGATCTAGGAAGGCACAACAAACATACTCGCCTTTGTCTATTTTATCATATATAAATGATGTCAGATCAAGGATAGCATGACTGGTGGAGTGTTTGGTCTGGAATCCAAATTGACATTTGTTTATCAAACTGAATTTAGTACAATAGCTCATCATTCTGGTATACAACAACTTTTCCATTATGATGCTAATTGAAGATAAAATAGAGATTGGTCTATAATTTGAAGGGTTGTTTTTTTTCCCACATTTAAAAATTGGTATAACTCTAGCAAGTTTTAATGAAGAAGGAAATATACCTAAATTGAATGACGAATTGAAGAAATTACTCAAAGCTGGTGATATGATATCAGCAACTAATTTCAAAAAATAAGAGGAAATACCATCCGGTCCAACCGCTTTACCCTTTTTCAGGTCCCTGATTACACGGAGAACTTCTAAAGGTGATGTTGACTCAAGAAAAAAAGAGTTCTGTAAAGGGACCCCCAGGAATTCAGCATTTGATTTGGTACTATGTGGGATTTCATCTGCGAGTTTTTTCCCTATAGAAGAGAAGAATTTGTTGAATTCAGTGGCCACATAGACGGGGTCTGTCACAGTAGTACCATTTTCCAATTTTAATTCTGAGACGGTGGGGACCTCTCTTGTCTTAATTTTATAATCTCATTGATGGTTTGCCATGTGCGTTTGACGTCTCCTCTGTTGTTGACTAGAATATTGTGGTAGTACTGCTGTTTCGATTTCCTTAGCAAGTGTGTTAAAATATTCTTATATTTTTTGAAGTAATGACGCTGCGATGCGTTTCCGTTCAGAAACATTATTCTGAACATGGCGTTTTTGTGTTTGATGGACTTGCGAATTCCCCTGGTTATCCAGGGCTTGGAATACAATTTATTTTCTCTGCGTGACAGAGGGCGTAATGGTGCGTGCTTATTTATCAACCACTTAAAATGGCTAAGAAAGAGGTCAAATGAACTATTAAAATTTTCTTTGGATAATATACCACTGGCATAATTTCTACACATCATCTCAACTTCCAATCTGAATGTGTCGGCAGAAAAATTTGCCATGTCACGCTTCATGCGTGTTTTTGTTTGGACTTGAGCACTAGTTGTTGATAAAGTACACATAATAGGAAAATGATCGGTGAGATCACTAATTATAATAAATGATGATGAGCATGATTTTAAGGTGTTGGTGTAAATGTGATCTATTAAGGTGTGGGAGGATGAAGTAACTCTTGTTGGTCTAGTGATGATTGGGAATACAAAATTGGACATGAGCATATCCAAGTATTTGGAGGTTGGAGTATCGAGGGTGTTGAGGAGGTTTATATTAAAGTCACCCAAAATTATGAATTGCTTTTTGGCTAATGTCAGCTTTTCGAATACAGAATACATCGCTCCAGTGAAGGATGGAATATTACGCTGGGGATGCTTGTAGATAACACCGATAACAAGGCATTGGGATTTTGGATTTTGTTCAGAGCCTTTCAACTCGATCCACATGTTCTCACAGTTTTCGAAAACAAAGTCAAATTCTTGCGTTATTTGAAAATTCATGTCATTTTAATATAGAACCCCACACCACCTGCTTGAGTTGGGGATGGAGCATGGATAAAGGTGTAACCAGGGATGTCAACGTTGTTAACAGCGGCATCCCTCTTTATCCTGATTTCGCTCAACGCAAGAATTTGTGGCAGGGAATAAAAATTAGTAATTAGTTCAGCTAGGTCATCAACATATTTACCCAAGGATCTAATATTGAAATGTAAAATAGTGAGATCTGAGGGTAGAAAACTAGATGTTACTTTATTGATATCCGGTATTTCAATGTACCGACATGGGATTGAAGCAAAATGCGGATGAAATCTTTCTGAATCCCATTGCGAGTTGTGATTAGGAGTTAGTTCTTGGACCGATGAGGTTGTTCGATTAGAATTTCTGCGCTGGGGATCTTAAACACCATCATGGAGACTGTTATAGGGAGGTAAAATACATAGCATATGGAGCAAAGGATGGCATAAGGCACACTACAAGTGCTAAATGGGTCACAAATCATACTACAGGTATTAATAAAACATGTTACAGAGTGATTTGGGTGGTTCATGGAAGAATAATGGATGTCATGTAAAAAATAAAGAGAGTTATAAAGAAGATATGACTTATCTTATTTTATTTAAATCTTCTTCATCATCAATGGGCAAGGTGTTTGTGTCTTTATTCTTTTTAATCAACACTTTTCCATTAGAAGTCCATAGGAAAGCATAGCCACACTGATTTTTACGAACTTTTGCTTGGTAGAACAGGTTCTTATTTCTGTCAGTCAAGTTTTCAACAATAAATACTTTTGATATGTTTCTTATAGATGTTGAGTTGACAAAAGTTTTAATGAGGTGGCGATTCTTTAGGATTTTGGCACGGATTTTTCGGTTAGTAAATTTTGCTACTATGGGCTTGTAAATTTTGGAGTTGCGAGTCGGACAGCGATGGGTAATAGAAATGTCAGAAGGTTTTATGTCGACATTAATCATCTTGCCAATTTCTATAACTAGATTGTCCGTGTCCTCATTTACTTTAGGAGCAATGCCGTGAAATTCCAGGTTGTCTAGTCTTGAACGCCGTTCATGTTCCTCTATTTTTTCTGTGGCATTGAATAGCTCTTCTTCGAGATCATAAACGAGGTCTTCAAGATCTCGTATTCTTTTACCATATTGTGTGAGTATATCTTCTGTTTTTTTTGTTTGACCAAAATCTCATCGTATTTCTCGGATTGAAAATTTTGGGATTCTCGGATCGAAGCGATATCTTGTTTAATTTCTTTTAGAGATGTCATTTGCTCTTGCATACACTCTTTCAATCCTGGGCTTAGAGGAAAATATTCGGAGGAGAAGTTGGCCGAGCTAAAATTATCCGCAAGACATGTCGCTATCAGATTTGGAAGCTGATTTACGATGTTATTTTGAATCGCCTCCTGCAGCACTAGCTGGAAGTTTGCACGTCCCTCAGGATCTTGAGTGAAGGGACCAATTGGTGATAAACCAGGATCTGGCAGACTCCTACTTAAACGTTGTTTAGGCTTTGGCTTTGTGATGTTGCTTAATGAAGCCATGTTGTTGTTGTTAAACTTTTTGCTGGTAAAATTTGATGTTGAGGTAGACAGCAAATATAGTTGTTGATCGACTTTTTGCTGGTAGAACAGATGGTTGAAGTTGACAGCAGATATTGGAATGTTAGACTTACTCAGCTATTTTAGGTTAGATTTAGAACCTGTAGATCTTAATCAAATAGTTTAGTTTTTGTATGATTTTTGTATAGGATGAAAGTGATGAAATAAAACTTAAATCAGGCACAAACTTACAATTGCCACATTGGTCGTCATTTGTTCACGATGTTTTTTATTCTTTCATTTTATTCGAATTGTGCACAGCATTTTAGGCTTTACTACAGCGTGGAAGCAAGCAGTAAACCCTGGAAGTTTGGTTTTGATGATGAGTCTTTGATATTACCAAGCTAAATATGCAGTGGCGGCGCGTCAATAGGGCCAACCGGGGCAATGCCCCGGTTGTTTTTTCGGTATAATAAAAAATATTCGAAGAATACCTCAATATCGGTTGCACAGACTGTCTACACTAGCCATATTCTCCCGACATGGTTCATTTTTCGCTCGCAAAGCCTTCGCCGAACGTCGACGGGGCGACGCCGATTTTGCCCCGGTTGCTCATTGTATATCGTATTCTCTCTTTTATCTTCCACTCGCCGCGTTTGTTTTCTGTTTCTTTTACTAAATCATCGGGGCCGATCGGGGCTAGCCCCGAAATTATGACGACACAATGCCGACGTTTCTTACAACGACGTGTTGACATATTCACGCATTCCTTCTCGTTCGTTGGTTGCTTGAAGAGTTGATAGTTTCCTCGCCTTCGTTTTTGTCGCTTGTTTCGCTATTTGAATCAGTTAGAGACCTTTGGCCCATTTGCTTTCAATTTTCCACATTCCTTTTGAGCTCCTCACTTCTTTCCGGCTTCGCATTTCTTAGCCTTAGACCTCATAATGAATAAGGTTGATGCACTACTTCGCACTCCGTTTTCGCAGCTGCCGCTGGAACAAAAATTAGAGGTACAACGTCTTGGGCCTTATCAACCAAAAAATTGTTCACTGGAACAATCCCATGACAGAGGAAATGTCGGCGTACATTCTGCGCAGAAACTTGGTATAAAAAACACGAAATGGTTGTGTTACAGCGAGGACAAAAATGCACTTTTTGTTTTTATTGCCTACTTTTTGCTATCGCCCGTGACTCACGTTGGTTGTAAATTTGGTTTTAGAGATCTTAAACATCTTTCCGAGCGTGCCAAGGATCATCAATCTTTTATGGAGCATCTGGACAATGCAGTAAAATACCGAACATTCGGAAATGTTAATATTGCAGCACAGTTGGATGAAGGACGCGCGGTTTCTATTCGTCGGCACAACCAAAACGTCGAGAAAAACCGCCATGTTCTCGGTCGATTGATAGATGTTTTGAAGTTCATTGGTTGTCACGAGCTGTCCCTCCGTGGGCACGATGAACGGGCTGGCTCTTCTAATAGAGGGGTATTTTTGGATATGGTGGAATACACCGCATCCCTAGATACTGTTATATTTTTGTATATCGTATAATTGGAATTTCTGGCAACCCTCTTTTGGGCTTACTTTTTCCCCTTCCGTTTTGTTTCTGCTTTTAAGGCTGCGTGTGTTTTTCGCTCTGTTCGAGTTATGTATTAAAGTTTACTGTTACTATACTTTTTGGTGCTTTGCTGTGCTGGTTGGGGAGGTCGAAAGATTATTTTCAACAGGTTATGGTCCCAGCACGCTTCCGCTGCGCTGAAAGACTGAAAAGTAACCAGTGACTTTTGCTGCTGATTTTGAACTGAATATTGTTGTCGGTCGTTGACTGGTTCTAATCGGGTTCAATGGAGGACAAATGGTCTATTGATAGATTGGATGGGTCAAATTGGACAACATGGAAATTTCAGGTGCGTCATGTTTTGCTTGCAAAGGAGCTGTGGAGATATGTGATGGCTCGGTTACGCTTACTGAAGACGCTGGTGAAGCAGCAGTGCTCGAATTCAACAAAAGTCGCACAAAGGCATTGTCAACAATTGTTTTGTCTATCGATCGTCACAGTTTATATCTGGTAACTTCTTTTGATAAACCAAAGGCGTTTGGGATGCATTGCGTAATCATTTTGAACGGGGATACGTTTGGCAAACAGCTATTTTTAAAGAAGCAGTATTTTCGTGCGGAGATGGAAAAGGGAATGCGGATGGATGATCACTTGAAGCGGATGAAAGAAATTACAGATAGGCTGGCAGCTATTGGGGCGCCTATCAGTGAAGAAGATCCAAGTTGTAACATTTGCTTGGAAGTCTTCCACAGAGCTATTCAACTCTGGTAAC